ATCTTCCAAGAGAGCTTTATTGGAGGAGGTCGGCTGGCCTGTGTTCTTGGGAGCTCCAGCTTGTCCTGAGCTCCTTCTCTTGTTTCTGTTTGCTTTCTGGCTGCCCTGTGTGAGCAGCCTCTTCCGCCACGCATGTGCACTGCCATCACAGGCTGAAGCTTCGAAAATTTCAAGTTAGAAATCAGTTTTCCCTCCTTGAAATTGTTTCCCTCGAGTACCTGTCACAGTGATGAAAGTCACAGACATTTTCAGGCTCTGGTCTCTTGATGTAATAGACATATCATCAGTTTGCAGAAATGAAGTGCATTTTAGGTCTATGGCATTAGTTGTAAATGTTTTCCTAGCTTGTTCTTTGTCATTTGGCATGCAATGTTTGACATGTAGAAGGCTTGCTGTTTGCTGTTTTTATAATTTAATAATGTTTATCAAGATTTTTGTTCCCTCAGAGCCTCCGCACTTCCCTCTATTCCTTCTCAATCGAAAAGGTGAAGAAAGACTGAATCTTTCCACTAGAATTTGAAACGAAAATGCTCCCATGTCTTTGTAGACATAAAATAAAATTGCTATGTCACTGAGATGCTCCAGCCCTGTTCTCTTTAAAGGTGATCATTTCCTGAGAGTAATTTCCCAGAGTCTTCTGCTAGAGAATAGCTTCTCATAACAACTAGTCATTTATACTAGACATCTTTTTGTGGCCAGGTCACTACAAGCCTTCTAAGCTCTCTAGATGGGCTAGAAGTACCATGAGTGTGTCCCTTACATGACAGTGATAATCATGTTGCCAGCCAAACTATACACCTTTGGCAACAGGAAAATTGAGTCCCTGCTGCTTAAATAAAAGGACCTATTGACATTTTAGCATGACGTCTTGGTTAGGGTTTCTATTGCTCTGAAGAGACTTCATGACGTGGCAAGTGTTATAAAAGAAAACACTAATCGGAGCTGGCTTTCAGGTTCAGAGGTTTAGTCTACTACCGTCATGACAGAGAGCATGGAAGCTCACAGGCAGACAAAGTATTGGAGAGGTAACTGAGAGTTCTACATCTGGATCCTCAGGCAGCAGGGAGAGAGAGAGAGACACTGGACCTGGCTCGAGCATCTGAAACCTCAACACCCACCCAGTGGAGGACACACTTCCTCCAACGAGGCCACACCTATTCCAACAAGGCTGCACCTCCTAGTAGTGTCACTCCCTATGGGCCTAAGGGGGGCATTTTCATTCAGACCACTATACATGTTTTCTGGGTAGCAACTGAGATGCTAGAAGGAATATCAGATAAAAGATCTGGATCATTCAATTCGATTCATTTTACCCGTCGTCCCCGCTTCGTTTGGTTATGCCTACAGAGAAAGGCATATTCATCTTTTCAGTTCATAAGGAACTCATTGTCTAAGGGGAAGGGAGATACAGGAGAATGGATGGCCATGCTAACAACAGCAGCATCCAAAGCCATATCATTGTATATGCCCAGCAGTCTCCCTGACATCTCTAGAGAACTGCCCCATTCCTGCCACAGCACTGCTAATGTGGCTTCCTGGTTATTCTACTTGGGGGCTTCCATTTCGGAAAGACAATACCTGGCATTGGGCTCGATTCCTTCCGCCTTCACTCAGAGAGGCTGACCCCTCACTATGGGCTTTCTGTTCTTCTTTGTGGTCTTTGTCCCTCAGGCATTTGACCACATTGGTTTTTATTTTTAATTTTATCACATGGTTAAGAGGATGATTTGACTCCTAGGCAACTTCGTTCACTATTCAGCATTCATCCTCCAAACCCAGACCAACTTTACCCACTTAATTTCATTAAGTGATCATCCATTTTAAAGTTTAATTTTGTCTAATGATGTAGTGGATGAAAGTCAAGCTCTGAAATATCACATTTGGTGAGACCTTTAGTAACTCCACCTTATTGTGATCTGTGCCCCTCACCTTGCCCAGTTGCCACCGGATGGCTACATTTATTACAGACTGAAATGTATTTTCTCTATCTATATCTTCCGAATGGTGTCATCTTCTCTTCCCCCTTCCCAAAATCTCTTCTCTTCAAGTTCTCGCCTATCATGAGGAACTTAACGATTGATCTCAGGTTGACAGCCTTGTAGGAAGAATGACTTTACCTTATGAGCCACTTTGCTGGCCCAATATTTTTAAAATTCATAATTATTTTTAAATATCCAAGTTTTCTGATTGGTCCTCTTCATCGACACCTGTTCCTATTTTATTTAATAAATCTTATTCTTTTCTAATGATAATTATTCCTTCATCTACTTTGACCAGTGATTCTCAACCAGGAGTGTTTTTTTGCCTCCAAGACAATTTGTAAAGTCATGAAGGTGCTGTGACTATAAAAACATCTGGAGTAGAGGCTACTGCAGGCATCCAGTGTGACTGTAAGAACATCTGGAATAGAGACTACTGCAGACATTCAGTGTGGAGAAGCCAGGAAGGGTGCTGTATATTCCACAATACTCAGGACAGGTTCCCCTCAATAAAGATTTGACCGTTCAAATGTTAGTAGTGATGACCTGAGAAACCCTACTCTAGGTCATTCAAATTATATCCACTACACTACCAAAGGCTCTCGTTGCTCAGTGACCTAGCTTCCTTTCACTAAATTATTTCTTAAAGATTCTGACACCTCCCAATAGCGCCATGCTGCAGACCAAGTCATAACAGATAGATCTCAGGCCTCTGGAGAACATTTGACTTAGTTACCTTTCTATTGCTATGCTTAAGACATCATCACCAAGACAACTTGCAATTAATTCTTCTGAAAAGTTAGTATCTGTGACCACCATGTCTGGGAGCATGTCGGCAGGCAGGCAGGCAGGCATGGTGCTGGACCAGTAGCTGAGAACTCACATCTTGATCCACGAGCTCTAGGATCTGAGAATAGAATGGGTTTCTGAAAGCCATTTTCAAAGCCTACTCCTGTTATGGGTCTTAGGTAGTTCAGAGATTCACCAGTCTGACAAATATTAAAGAAGAGGCTTTTGTTCATATACTGGCCAGGTCTACACCCAGCACTCAGGATCCTCCAAGGCAGCACAGAACCCAGCCACCTCGGTCAGGGGCTTTTAAAGGCAAAGAACATCAAGCTGCATCCTGTCTACAGGCAAACAGTTCATTTCCTGCAAAGCAAGCTTTTGTTTATGAAACAGAAAAATCAGTTTTGTCAAAGTTTTACAAGAGCAGGCAATTACAAAAATAAGCCCTTAACAGCACATAACATTTGGAAGTCCACCTTTGCAGTATGGTTCTCCTAAGCACAGAAATTAAAAAATTTTAAACACAGTTAGTGATCAGCATAACCTTAGCCATCACAGCCCCGGCAACAAAGCTCCTCCAACAAGGCGACACCCAATCCTTCCCAAACAGTTCCACCAACTGGGGACCCATTATTCAAATATATGAGCTTATGGGGGCCGTTCTCATTCAGATCATCACATTCCAGACCAGCTCTAAACTACAGCATTGGTTTGCAGTGGCTTTATGTCTGGCTTTCTTAATCCAGCAATCAGGCTCTCCCCCACCCCCACTCTGGGCAAATCTCACTGGAATATTTACAAACTCCTGTTTGTGGTAATACTAGAAGCCTACAAAACCCAGACAGCAGGCTCACTTTCTATTGTGGGAGTATTTCCTTTTCTTCCTGCCCCCACAGCCATGCAGTTTGCTTCATGGTCCGGGATTCGGATGGAAGCAACAGCAGTTTGCTCTGCTTGCTCTTCTTCACTTTCTGTGCACCAGGACCCCTGACCTCAGACCTGGGAGGTCAGCAGTGCAACTGATTCTGGGTTAGCAAAGCCACTCCGAGCAAAGCTTAACAATGGCTCTCAATCCCACTTCCCCACCCCGGGATTTCTTCACAGAGTTTTGTTTTTATTTTTGTAATTGGTATGTTTGGGGTAAGGGGAGCCAAGAATTCATCTTGACTAGATGGCTATTGTACAGTCATTTATGGCTGCTTCTTTTCAGAAAAAGGTATTTGCCTTTTTTTTTTACAAAAAAATATGCTAACTTGTATATTTGCAAGATGGTCTAAAATTTTTTCTACAGAATTCAAATCATTAGTTCCTTAGAAATTCCATTTAAAAATGGACGAAGCACACAAAATGGAGATGTGAAAGTAATGAACGAATGGGCACACAGTAGTCCACTTCCCACCGCACATTTTCATACGATGCAGCAACAAAGTTCAGAGGAAAGCTGGCTTGGTAAGAAATATAAGCAGAAAACAAACAAACAAACAAACAAAAAAAACCCTAACCAGCTCTTAACCATCTAGAAAGTTTTTAGGGGAGTGGTGGACTTTGGGGATTTGACCATCTCTTTCTATCTGGGAACAGGTTATTTATAAACAATTTATTTCAACTTAACGTTGGCAAATACCGAGGTAGAAGCTAGAGAATTATAGCTAAATAAAATAATCTTGGGGGCTGGAGAGATGGCTCAGTGGTTAAGAGCATTGCCTGCCCTTCCAAAGGTCCTGAGTTCAATTCCCAGCGACCACATGGTGGCTCACAACCATCTGTAATGAGGTCTGGTGCCCTCTTCTGGCCTACAGAGATACACACAGATAGAATATTGTGTACATAATAAATACATAAATATTTAAAAAAAATAATAATCTTGGACTCTAGGAGTCCACAACTGGAGGCAGCAGGTGGGTACATGAACAAGTGTGTTTGGGGTCGGATTCTATTCTGGCGGAGGGGGCAATAGCTGTACCGGGTGGTAGCCAGGAGAAGCTGCAAAGACAGTGACGTCCCGGGGGAATATTGGGCGGTCAGCACGAATTCACCCGTGAAAGATCCTTCTCTGCGGGACAGAGACGGGAGACCAAGGCTGGGGCGCAGGTCTGGCCGGGCACAGTCGCCGGGCGTCGCAGAGGCTCGGGGTTTCCGCCAGGGGGCGCTGTGGCCCCGCCTCGGCCGGGCCGTTACGTTTCCGGGCACCGAGGCCCGGGAGCCGCCATCACCGGCCCGGCGGGCGGGCGCGCGTCGCCGCTGTGGGCCGCTCCGGTTACCGGGGCAACCGTGGCGCTTCCTCCTTGTGGGCCGCGACCGTCTCTCGGCGCCATTTTCAAACTGAGCTGGTGCCGGAGCCATTGGGCGCAGCGGGAGGAGTCAGTGAGGACGGCGGGTCCCCAGGGCGATGCGCCGCGCGGGGAAGCGGCGACGGGAACGGCGGTGAGGCTCGCCCGGGGGTGGGGGAGGTCGCAGGGGGCCGGCGGGGTCGCGGGGCCTCCGGGGCGGTTCCCCGAGGGAGGAAGTGGGGGAGGGCAGCGACGGGACCGACCCACTGTCCGACCGTGCGGCGGGGCGGCGGGGCCGAGCCGCTGGCTGGCTGGCTGGCTGGACGGGAAAATGTCCCGGCGAGGAGAACGGTGGCTCCACCTTCCAGGCTGAGTCCTGGAAGGACGACGAGGCCGCTCCGGCCCACCCGCTCCGTGGCGCCCGCGCTGCGGGGTTTGGTGTATAAACCCTTCTGCATCCACGCGTTGGAGGTGTCTGTAAAAGTAAGAGGTGACCTCCTTAAGACACCCACGCTCCGGGGTGTAGTGGACACCTAGCTCTAAACGCTGAACCTACCCTTTTATGTTGTTTTGATCAAAAAGTTGTCATCCGGAATATAGGAACAACCTAACATGTACGTGTTTTTGTTTTTGCTGGGAGGACTTTGCTTCGTATTCTCATTCTGTCTTCTTCTCGAAGGATGCAGAGAGATGGTTTTGGGTACCTGGAGTTGGCAGCTGTCAAAGACGGGAAATGTTTCTTGGAGTTTGCCCTCTAAGTCGAGCTTGTCAGGTGCTTTTCTTGGGACCACAAAAGTTTCTCTAAAACACCCGGCATCAGTCAAGTCCCTCTTGTGGAAGGAACTAGAAAGTCCTAGGGGAGGCCTCTCAGAGAGGCTAGATTTATAAACGAGAGTAATCAAGAAGAAGTCTAATTTAGAAGTAGTCTTGTGGCCTGGGAAGTTACTTTCTTTGGACAGCCTTTCTTCATTCAGTGTTTGAGTAGGGAGGATGCTACTGGTCCTTTATCACATACTGTGTTCACAGCAGAAGGTTTTGTACGTATTCATATATAGCACTTACAATTTACTATTGGCGAAGAACATCCTTTTTGTTAGAAATTAGACTACATTTATTTGACAAAGGTTAGAAAGGAAATGAACTTTGCATAACTCTGTTTTAGGGTAGATTGATAGTCGTAGATGTTCCAAGGTGGTTTTACTCTCTCAGTGTGGGTTGCACTTCCTGGCAGCCTTTGCTGACACTGGGTATTGCCGGTCCTTTTCGACTTCCGGGATAGGCAAAGCTGCACCTCATTGTGATCATAGTTTGTGTTTTCCTAATGTTAAGCATCTTTTCATATATTTCTTAAGATATCTTTTGCAAGGTGAGTTTTCAAGTTTTTGTGCAACAAAAATTCAGTTTTAGCACAATTTGGGAGGATAATTTGGGACCAGGTCTTGCCGTGTATCCCTGGCTGACCTATGTACTGACTATGTACACCAGAACGCTCTCAGATTGAGGACAGTCTCCCTGTGTCTGCCTCCTAAATGCTGGGAATACAGGCGTGTGCTTCCATACCGGGCCTAGCCCTGGTTTTCATGTCAGATTGTTTTATTATTAAACTCTAAGAGTTCATTTTCTTCTCTGTGTGTAAATATTTCCTTATAGCTTATGGATATTTTCTGGCAGTCTTAGGTTTTCGTTCTTCTTTTCCCCCTTTTCTCTTCCTTGGTGAGGTCAAGCCCAGGGCTTCACAATACTAGGCAAGAACTACCATTGAGTCCCATTCCCGCTGGGACTTTCATTCTCCTTAATGGGGTGTTTGGATGAGTTGATGTTTGTCACTTTTATGAGGCCCCACCTATCAGGTTTTTCTGTTCTGTTTATTGCTGTTAGGGAATTCCCTGTGGGTTGTGCGCTCAGCCCAGTGTAGGGCACTTGTCCAGCGTGAGCAAGATGTCTGGATGCCGTTCACATGTAAGAAAGTGGAGTTTCTGTCAAGGATCCCTTGCCGGCCTCTGGGAAATCTTTGTTTTCCTCTAGAATTGTTGTTGTTTTAACTTTTGCATTCAGGTTTGTGAAGAAATGCATGTTTTAATGTAGCAAAATAGAGATCATATGTACTGGATTTAAATCAATGTTAATATTACAGAGTAATGACAACCAGAAAAGGAACAAAATCGTTCTTTCCTATTCAAGGAGCATCTCTTGCAGTGAAACTTTGAGGGCTGTGTGGATCCTCCCTCAGGACTTTGACTGTGGAGAGTGAGTAAAGCCGGCCTGGGAGACGAGATGAGCACGGCCGCGGAAAGGAAGTACATCAATGTGAGGAAGAGGCTGGACCAGCTGGGCTACCGCCAGACTCTGACTGTGGAGTGCCTGCCTCTGGTGGAGAAACTCTTCAGGTAAGGATGAAAGCGCAGTTAGAGATGCCTGTGCTCTTTAATCTACATCCTGAGTTTGCGGTGACTTTCCTGCTTCAGGAAAGCGGCAAGGGGACTCTGGGGAAGTCTGTAAGTCTGCTGAAGCTATCTGTGCTCTCCTCAGTCCAAAGCCTTGTCCCCAACAAAGGGCCTTCATGGTGCAGGATGCTAGCTAGGGATTGCTATACCCTCTGTTCTCTGAGTGTTTTCCCAATGGAATTGCACTCTGAGGTTTCCGATAGAGGTCAGAGGTCCTTTCTCTTTTCTGTCTTGTCGTTTGTTTTTACCCTTCTGCACTGGTGAGGACGGTATACAGCCCTGAGTGTGCTGGGCAGGCGCTCTACACTGAGCTGTACTCCCACCCAGCTCTCCCCTTCAGTTCCGTCTGCCAGCTGGGCTTTGATTTCTGTTATTCTAGAAAGGTTCTGTAATTTGTTGCTGTTGCCGTCACATGTGGCCTCAACTGACAGGCTTTCCCCTCCTTTTCCACAAGACCTGTAGTGGGAGGTTTGAGATGGTTCATTAGTAGAACTACAGGTAAGGCTGGTAGACAGCAAGGAATGGTAAAGATAACTTGTGACCTCGGGTACGACCCCAAACCTCTCATGACCCGGTTTCCTGACACTTTGACCTCGCGCGTGTTGAGTCACACAACATGTACTCTCACTCTTGCTGTTCGTACACTCCTCCTTCTGGCTGTAGCGAGCCCGCCGCACCTTTCCCCGCTGTGTAGGACAGTCACCTCGGCTGCGTTTTACAGTCGCTGTGCATCATCATTGTCATCTTGGTGCTGTCCCCTTTCATTGCAGACTTCACAAGATATGATCATTTACAGTTGCTATAGATTGCTCATATAGGAAGCTTGGAAATGTTTGATTTATCATGTACTAAGTGTCTAATGATTGTAGAATAGAAATTCTTCATTATTAAGTGCATTTTGTGTGTGTTTTCTCACGAAATGTTTAGTTAATGAGTGTTCTTAGAGGTAAGAGCGTGATTTTGGTTTGCTGTCTTCCTGGAGGTAGCATACAGCAGACAGGCAGTACACATTTACTCAATAAAGAACCAGTTGCACCTAGAGAAGGAGCAGGAGGGAGTTTGAGCCGTGATCTGACAGGGTAGCTCATTTGTTGGGAACGTGAGTTAGATGTTGCTGAACAATAGGATTTTTAAACTAAAGGTAAAATTGTCAATAAAAGTACTTTCAGAACTGGGGAAAAAAACAACAATCTGATGTGTTTGTATTTTATAACTTATAGCTTGTTTTGAGAAACTTTTGAGGACTTTTGATACCTTGAAAGTTCATTCTTCTCGTAAATTTGGTATTACTTAACATTAGGATTATACTTAAGCCTTTTTAGAAATGGATTTGAAGTTACTAGAAGGCTAATAGAATGCTTTCTTTCCTTTCATTTTCTGTCCTTTAACGCTAGTGATTTAGTTCACACAACAGAAAGCCTGCGGCAGTCCAGGTTGTCCTCGGCAAAGGCGGAAAAGGAAAGTGCCAACTTCGATTTTGTTTTGGAGCCTTATAAACTTGAGAATACAAGACTGAGCAGGGAGAATAATGAATTGTATCTGGAGTTGATGAAGCTGAGAGAATGCTCAGACCAGCACATTAAAGGTACATGAAACCTTGATGATATTTTTAAATGCAGGACCTTGTCATCTTTGTTTTTAAGTGGAAAAGGCTAAAGTCTCGTTTTAAAGTCCTTGACAAGAACACTGATAGTCATGCGAACAGCTCCGTCAGTACAGGAAGCTGTATTGAAGACTGCGTGAGAATGGAGGTGTGTGTAGTCCGTAGCCATGACAGTCGCCGCGATGTGCGGATCATGTTTTTGGTTTGAAATTGGTAAAAAGAATATTAAATGGCAGAATAGAAGACATTTTCTTGAAGCAACTATTGTTCCTCTTACTGAAAAGAAAAGTAATGAGTAGCCGTGCAGCACTTATTAGGCGGTGTTGAGCCAGGAAGGAGATAAATGATTTGGTTATCTTACTATAAACTTGATATTCAATAATTCTTTAGCCTAAAGCCAACTTACTGGATCAAAGCCATGGTAGACATTAGCCATATACAATAATAACAAGAATATAAAGTTGCTCTTTGTGATTATGTGCAGATTTGTTAGCAGTAGGAAGTACATTTGGCTTAATCCAACTTGTCAGGCTCAGGTGGCACCTTTCAGCTTGGTGCCAATGTCTTGATCTTTTCATCTTTCTCACTTTAAGAGTTGAAAACTACATTAAAAAAGTGTGCACACGAGACAGCTGATCTGAAGTTTCTGAATAACCAGTATGTTCATAAGCTCAAACTCCTGGAGAAAGAGAGCAAAGCTAAGAATGAGAAAATCCAACAGCTTCAAGAAAAGAATTTGCATGCTGTAGTACAGACTCCCGGTGAGTCCTCCCCTTCTCGAGCCAAACTGGCTGGTGTGCTCATGGCAACAGACTGGACTGTGTCTCTTTCTCATGAGAACTGATCTGTTTAGAAAGTGCAGCTCTAGTCTGGCCTGCTCCTGAGAAAGTAAACAGGTTATGAGTTTTATATGACTCTAAGATCAATCTATCCATTTATAAATATTCGTGCTGTCTATAAAGATAATTACAGAGGTGTTCACTACTGACTCAGATTATAGTATGACTATATTACAAGTGACATCCTATTATATTCTAGTTGCATTCTTTGGAGTTTCAGTTTATCTGTTTGCCGTGTGTGTTTCTGCTCTGTTTGTGCAGGAATGTGTGTGTACGCGTATGTAGGCCAGAAGTCAACTTTGGATTTCTTTCTCTATTGCTTTCCACCATTGTTTTGAGACAAGGTTTCTCACTGAGCCTCGGCTTGTCCAGAGGCTAGACAGGCTGACCAGCAAGCTCCAGGGATCTTTCTGCCTCTGCTTCTCCGGTGCTGGGATTACAGGCTTTGGCACCACCACTGAATTTTTTTGCATGGTTTCTGGGATCAGACTCAGATCCTCATGCTTGAATGGCAGGCACTTTGAGAGCTGAGCCATCTCCAGCCTCCAGTGACCTGTTCTTCGGACACTGTTTAATAAGCATGTGTTTTTAGTTCTTACTGCCAGTGCTCCTTATCTGACGTTGTCTGATGGTGATATTTTAGCTCATGACATTGACCACTAAAAGACACACTTAGATTTTAATCCTACCAAAATCTAATCTAGCCAAGAAACAGTTTAAACCTGTGCACATATGCCAAGCCTGCAGGCATAGAAAACTTGTTTTATAGTCTCATTAAATTTTTGAGAAATACATTGTTCAGTCAGAGAGCAGGGTGAATATTTACATTAGAGCCCACTTTAAAAGAGAAGGTTAATCTGTGTTGTTCGGAATTTAGAAAAGTGTCTGGTTCTTCTTGGTTTTTAAGACATACATCTATTTCTGTATTCTTAGGAGGCAAGAGAAGAAGCATTGCATTTAGGCGTCAGCGGATGCAAATTGATGAACCAGCCCCACCCTCTGAAGTCAGTTCATACCCAGTTCCACAGCCAGAGGACCCATATATTGCAGACCTCCTGCAAGTGGCTGATAACAGGTGTGTTACATACTCGTTTGCTGAGCTGGGAGTGTGCAGTGTCTCAAGGACCTGAGTTCAGTCATTATCATCATCGTCTTCATCTTTGTTTGTGTCCTGCCAGCCAGCCTCCAAATAATGACAGAGACTTCCTACTAATTATGAAAGCTTGCCTATAGCTTAGGCTTGTTCCTAACTAGCTCTTATAACCTAAATTAACCTATTTATGTTAATGTACATTCTGTCACATGGTGTTACCGCTTTTCTATCTTGTATCATCTGTTTCCTCTCTATGTTTCTTGGCTTCTCTCATGCGCCGTGAGCATCTCCTACTTCCTCTCTCTCTGCCCAGAAGTTCCTCTTATACCTCCTGCTTAGCTGTTGGCCATTTAGCTCTTTATTAAGACAATCACAGCAATATATCCTCACACAGTGTACAGTGTACAAATATCCCACATCATTTGTTTTTAGTTCTTACTGGCTTGTTTGATTACTAGCTGTGTTGTAAGATGTTCAGTGGGAAAACTTGGCCTTGTTAATTGTGTCCCTGCGTCTAGCACAGAACTTTGCATAGGTCCTCAGTAGGTGTTTTCAGAATGATAAGGACACTTTTTACTTGTTTAAAAGCTTTGTTTTCTAATAAGTCATGTATCTGAGGTTTCTGTCCATACTTGCTATAAAATACCTTACTGCTTTTAGGAACCTATTTCAATAGAGTTGCTTTGACATTCGGTTTCATCTAAGTAGGTTAACTTTTACTGGAATCTCTACTGCTTCAGACTTGTAGCAAAATGCCAGCTGGACATGAATAGAATGCTATCTCAATCTGAAATTCTTCTGTCCTGCATTCTTTAGCCCTATATTTATATTTCCTTTTATAAGTCAGAGTCAGAAATAAATTCTGTTTAGTTAACTGTTCATTAGGCCTCCAGGACAAGGCTTGAGTCCATGCTGAGGTCATCAGAGTAAGGTCATGATGCTGTTTGGACATGCTTGAGTCCAGGTGTCACTGAGAGAGTTATAGGGCTTTAAGGGCAAGAGAACAAATGCCAGTGACACTCTAGTGATTCTAGGGGAGGCCTCCAAACCGGGGTACATGGGAAGACAGAGCAGGTAAGGACTTTGTGGTTCATAGAGAATACAGAGGAGGCTTTTCAACCACTCATCGTTTCTAAAAGAGCATTGGTTGAGATCTCCTGAAGACCACTTCAGTCATTTATTCTCTCCTAATATCATGTGCCTGTGTTTTTGTGACTACCTTAACCTTTTGTGGGCTGCTCATCTGCTAAAGTTATGGCTAGGCTGCCAGGTAGTCTTATTTAAAGAATTGTTTACACTGTAGAAGTGCCTCAGTCTCTTTTGTCTGTTTGCTTTGGTGTGCACACACACATTGCATAGAGTCTCCTGCATTGATCTTAGACTGCTTGCGTGCCTGCTTGTATCCTTAGTAGGTTAGTAGAAACTTTTGTCTTTAGTAAATGTTGGAATGAGCTCTCTGCAGCTCATGGAAAATGTCCCTTCAAAGCAGACCTGCTTCAGGCTTTTCCCATCAAAAGTGGGTTATGCCATACGTAGACAATAGAATCCATGTGGAGCTCAGATGGTTTGGGTGAAGTCTTGATTCGTAGAGCTCACAGGTTCTAGGAAAAACAGGCTTTGCTTGGGTCACTAGAAAATTGCTGTTTTCTCCATTTTCTCCTCTCCAAAAGTATAATGTAGTTTAGTAGGCAGCTCAGGGCTGGTGAGGGTCAGAACACACATGCTTGTCCCTTGTCTCATTTAGTGATACTGTTAATTTTGAGCTAGACCTTGAGTTTCCTGAGCCTAAAAAATGGTATCTGTACCTTAGAGTCGCTCTAAGGACAGAGCTGAAGAGTGAAGTGATTATTGCATGACGTGTCTGAGTTTCAAATCACTTGCCTCTCAATTGTGATCCCTCCCTCTATGAATTTAGCTCTCCAAGGTGATGGACTGTGTTTATGATGAGGCTCTAGGACCCTGCAGCACAGTACTGCGCCCTCCCCTCCCCCGAACCCCTTGGGAGCCAGAAGTGGGATTTTATGCAACAACAATTACTTTCATGTTCCATTGTATTGTCTCCTCAACCAAAGTCTGCTACATATGCTAACATGGTTACCCGTGTTTGTTCCATTGTATTGTCTCCTCAACCCACGTCTACTCCATATGCTGACACTGGTTCTCCATGTTTCAGGATTCAGGAACTTCAGGAGGAAGTCCACCAGCTGCAAGAGAAGTTAGCACTGATGGAGAACGGGGTGAGAAATTACAGCAAGCAGGTAGGAATTTGCTTATTTGTGTGTTTGCTCTGATCATGACTAGAATTGTTTTATACTTGATATTACACATCCCTAGTTTTAAATGCAGCCTTTATCTTTTCCAAAAAGCTTGTTAGTCGAGTTAATAGGTGGAGTAGCTTTAGAGTGCCTGGTCCGTTCCCTTCATTATTCACTGAGGTGAGCAGCAATTTTAAAATTGTTTTGGTTTTTCTTTTATTTTATTCTATTTCCCTAAATCAAAAAAATTGCCCCAAATAAAAATTGTGTGTTGCTATGTTTATCTCAAGAATAATTTTATTTAAGTATGACAGCATATTTTTATAATTATGTTTGTTAAGAGGGCCGGCTAGATGCCTCAGAAGATAGAGGTGCTTGTCACCCGGCCTGATGACCGGAGTTTGATTTCCAGGACCCAAACAGTGGAGGGAGAGAACAGACTCCCAAAAGTTGTCCTCTGACCTCCATTTGTAAGCCACGCACACACACACACACACACACACACACACACACACACACACACTATAATAAAATAAATATTTTTTAAAAAACACAAAAGAAAATAATTTTTTTGTTTATTTCTTTTTTACTGAATCTAAGCCTTTGACAGTTCCTCTTCTGGGTTGCTTTGCTCGCTGTGGTTCCTCTGGAAGCATTACTGCAGCATGGCAGTTTCCTAAGGAGAAGGACCCAGCAGATGCAGTTAGATCATAACCACAGAAAGCTTCGTGCTTGTGTTCTCTGTGTTGGGCTCTGGGCTAAACAGTGTGCTTTATGTCCTTCTGTGCTTCCCGAAGTTTAAACTGGGTATTGTTTTTTTCATGTACATGATTATGTTGCATGATCTGTACATACAACTCTATATGTACCAGTATGCTGGTATAACTCTTAGTTTGTAAAGCACTTTGAAAATTATTTGGATTGGAAAGGAGTTAAAGAAAGTTCTAATATTCTCAAACCAAAAACCCCCACAAACAAACATAAAGGAGTCAAACAAACTTATGAAGGCACTAAAAACATTGGTTCTCAGCCTGTGGGTCATGACTTCTTTGGGGTCAAATGACACTCTCACAGGGGTCATGTTATCAAATATCATGTACATCGGATACTTACATTATGATCCATAGCAGTAGTAAAATTACAGTTGTGAAGTAGTAGCGAAAGGAATGTTATGGTTGGGGTCACCACAACATGACGAGTTGTAAGGGGCAACAGTAGGAAGGCTGAGAGCCACTGCACTCATCACACTGGGCTGTGACTTGGGGGGGGGGGGGATAAAAAGCTTACCTAGCATTAGGCACCGGATTCAATTCTTAGCATAGCAGAAAATGAGGGGGGAAAATCACAAATTGAATGTGGTTGTGTTTTTTTCAGTTTATAACCACGTTTTCCCAAGTACTTTATGAACAGAAGCTGCCCAAACCTTGCTGTCTCTGAGGTGGCTGAAGTGTTTGGAGGACGTCGCTTGGTCATGCTGGTTAAAGCACTAGTTCACTAATCATCCGGCTTAGCTGTGCCCTCTCTGCTGTGGATTCTTGTTTGGCTTGTGTTTGTTCTTCTCAGAAGGTATTCCCAGCTGTGAGGGCTAGGGGTCAGCTCCGTGGTAGGCACTTATCCAGCCTGCTCAAAGCCCTGAACTGAAGACAGTAACAGCACAGTCACTATTCCTGACTTCTTCGGACAATCTATCTTCACTTTCTCAAAGTATCTCCTTGTTTCAGTGCCCTGTTCTTACCTTGAAGTAGTTATATTTGTACTCAGGGTCTTGTAAGACTTATTGGATAGGGGGTTGTGTAGCAGTACTTTCTTGTCAGGACAGCCAGCTCACAAATAATGTCTGGGAGACTTATTATTATGAATGCTTGGCCTTGGCTTTTTTCCCAACTAGTTCTTATAACTTAAATTAACCCATATTTCTTAATCTGCGTTTTATTACATGATTTGTTACTAATATGTGTATTGCCCATTCTGCTTCCTCTGCATCTGGCTGGTGACTCCACTTTTCTTCTGCCTAGAGTTCTTTCTCTCTCTGCCTGGAAGTCCTGCCTATACCTCCTGCCTAGCTGTTGGCTGTTCAGCTTTTTATTATACCAAATCACAGCAATATATTTTTACATAGTGTAAAATTTCCCCCTTCTTGTCTAAATAAAAAGAAAAGGTTTTCAATCTAATACGGTAAAATTATATATGATAAAATTATGTACAATAATAATTAAATAAGAATTAAATTTACAATATTCAGTCCATTTGTATTTGGCAAATTTGGAGAAATTGCTCTATTATCTATTTTATCTTGATGAGTTCAAAGCTTTATTCCTAAACCATTTTCAATCATAACTTATATTACCATCCTAAAAAAAATCTTTTAGATCTTAAATATCTTTTTAGATAAACAACTTAACCTTTAATGTTTTTAATGTTTCCCAACCTTATAAACTTTACATCTCTTTGTAAGTTTCTTTACTGAATTTGGTAACAAGGAAAACTGTATGACTGTCTTCACCTCCTTCAAAGACCCCAAAGAATATAATATTACCTGAATAAACAGTAAATGCAGAACAAGCAACTTCCAAAACTATAGAAACAACAGAGACATCTGGCTGCCTGGACAGTCACCCCCAGGTTCTTCTGCAATGTTGAGGCATCCCTCTTCAACCTACAGGCCAAGAATATATGACAGATTTTTCCTGTGAAATGGGAATTTTGAAGGATTATCCTACCTTGTCTTAGCAAAGTTTGGTAGTCACCTTCTTTTGTGTCCTGCTTGTTCGATTTGAACAGCATACTGTCAGCAGTTGAGGTGAGGACAGTTTTTTGCCAAGTGGCTAGCTTTGTCACAGAGAAAGCAAACTCCATATGGCAGTTCTTCCATGCCCGTCATCCTTTTGAAATAGATTGGTACTGTCAGGAACAGATGCGTCTTACTGTCATGAAAAACGTTATGTTATTAAAACATCTTAAATGCCATATTCTGTAGATCTCTGAAGTGTTTCGAGACCATCATCTATCTAAAATATATCTGACCTTGAAAACATACCTAACATAGCCATAAATTTGATTGTTAAATGACTAACTACTAACCCGTATTTATTAATTACCCTAAGTAGTTTCCAATTACATTGTTAAACGAACTGCATAAATACTGTACTATACTTAAACAAGAATAGAAACATATATACAGTATAACAAAAATAACTTTAAATTTATAGCAGCATACAAAAATCCATAACAATGTAAAATAAATAAAAGTAGTAGTTACTTTTTAATTTAAAAGTAAATTCAGTAACCTACCCTTTTATTTCATCATTTCTATATCCCCTTTTCTTTCTAGAGTGAGATTCCACTGTTTAGCTTTCCCCATGACCTTGACCAACCACAACTTGAAACCAACCCTCCTAGATGATGATAAATGTCCACAATCCATTGAACAACCGAAAACCATCTACCCCACCTCTTGGGAATGCCCAAGCATCATGTTCTCATTGCTTCCTCTTGTTTGCGGGTAACAGCATCTCTAGTGGACCCTGACAAAATTGGCACAATTGTCAAGTCCTAAGAGAGCTAGCGATATTATTTTTTGTTTAGTCTCAATGTGTTTGGAAAGTGTAGAGCTTATCTGAAGTCTTGGCTGGACAGTCTTGTGAGACTGGATGGACCATTTTAGCTAGCAACTTTGAAGTTGTTCTGGATACAGATTTTGAGGAAGCTGCAACAGAGGTATTTTGAGAGGTTGGATCACAGGATATTTGTATTCATTGGTGTCTGGTCCTTTTTTTTCTGAAAACACACAAACTTTTAAAGGTAACATATATGTCTGTATTAACACAAGTATGGAAAAAGCGGTGTGCTCAAGTCAGCTAAAGATGATGTTTGTTTTACCTTAGAGCAGGTAAAGTGCATCTGACAACTCTATTTGGACTGTATATCCAAACCTATATCCATGCCACATAAAAGGATGGCATATAATAATAGGTCATGAGGACTCTGTAGCCAACAGGATTTATCCTGTCTCATCTAGTCTTAGAGCTGTCCCCATAGTAAAGGGATCAGCATATATGTCACCTGTCCTGTAGAGTTTTGATTGTTTGTTTCTTCCTTTATGTCTATAGCCAAGATTTTTAGGAGGTTTCTCCCAATCAAATCTGGTCTTTATTAATTTTGAAGAAATCCGTAGCTTTTTGTTTATTGTGAAAACAAAGGCATAGCCTCTCCCCCAACACAACATGACTTCCATTCTGAAGTTAAGACTTTCTAAAAATATATAGACTGGCTTAACTTAGCAGTTTCCATAATCCAGTGTCTTTCAATAGCTATTGCTTTTTGTTCATTAACATTTAAACAATTCAAAGTCAACAAAACACCATATAGGATCTAGACACTCTGTGTATTTTCCATCTTTATGTGGCTTTTTCCTTTGTCACTTTATCTTTAAAGACTATTATTTTTAAACTATTTTTCTATGACTGTTTATACCCTTTTTCTTTTTTTCTTCAGCATCTAAGCACATTTTTTTTTATTTTTTTATTTTTTTCGAGACAAGGTTTCTCTGTAGCTTTGGTGCCTGTCCTGGAACTAGCTCTTGTAGACCAGGCTGGCCTCGAACTCCCAGAGATCCGCCTGCCTCTGCCTTCCGAGTACTGGGATTAAAGGCGTGCGCCACCACCGCCCGGCTTCTAAGCACATTTTTAAACACACTGTTGCCTATTCAGAGTTTTTCTTGATCTCGACATGACTTTTTGCACATCTGCAGCCTCCTGTAACCACATGAGCCAGATCTTAACCTGCTAGGCTACTGCTGCATGGGCCGGCTTAGCACATGGCACACTGGCAGCTGGCTCTGCCACCCTCAGTTCCCTGAGAGCCTAGTCTCATACCAAAGGGTGTAGGCTCTGGAGCCGCATTTATCTTCCCCAGCTCTTGGAATTTATTGTGTCCGCCTGCAGCAGGCATTTGTACCCAGTGCCAACTGCTCATGTGTTCAGCTGTGCAGCAGGGCTTCTTGAAAGAGCCACGCCTCTGTACGCTGAGCCTACCTAGGAGACCTGTTGCCAGGAAGCTTTCTCAGGCCTTATGTGTAAAGTTTGGCCATTAGCTTAGGCTTGTCCCACTAGCTCTTATAACTTAAATTAACCTGTTTTTATTAATCTGTGTTCTTCCATGTGGCCCAGTTGCCTCTACTCTCTGCTGTATGTCTGACTTCTTCAGTGCCCCCTGGTTTAATCTACATACCTAGATTGCTCTTTTTCTTTCTCTATCCCCAGAAGTCTTGTCTCCTCTCCTGCCTAGCTATTGATCATTCAGCTCTTCGTTGCACCAATCATTGCAATATCTCTTTACATCGTGTACAAATATTCCACATCAGGGTTGTATTTGCTCAGTGCTCAATTCTTCACGCTTCTCTCCAGTCCAGTCATGCTGAGTCATTTCTGCTGCCTCTGATATTTCCCATGATTTTGTGTATGGGTGTGGCTGCCTGGAGCACCCCTTTTTGTGATACAACATTGCTATAGCCTTTATGGACATCCTGCTAAATTTAGCAAGGTCTCTGGTGATGTTATAGGTACAAACATAGACTGCAGAGTGGGCCACTTCATCCCTTTCAGTACTGGTTCCGTAAGATACCATTTCCTTTACTCTTCTGTTGAAGACCTGTTGTGCTGCAACTGTTGGGGTGCTTGGTAGTACTCCCTGTTATGTTCTCTGTTCCTGGAATTCAAAGTCCATCCATCAGTGTGTTCAGTAATTATTGAATTGAATCTTCATTTTTTTTCTGAATTGGGGGAAAACAAAGTATGTGTGTGTATGTGTTTGTGTGGGTGTGTATGTGTGCATTTTTCCAATTCTTGCTCGTGAATTGGTATCAACTTATTAATTAAATTCACCCTAGTTTCCTATCTTTTTTGATACTGAATTTGATAGCAACTCAGTTGTTAATATTTTCCATTCATTCCAACATTCATCCATTCTAGCAAGCGCTGAAGTATGTCAGCATTATTCCAGTGCTTGAACATGTGTATAATCTGCCAAGACATTTCTGTTCTTATAAACAATTTTAGAGGAGAGAAAAAAACTCTCAAAATTTAATTAGCATCAACTCCATAAGAGCACTCATGAGAGCTATCTGTGCTGATCCTATAGCGCTGGTATATTCTGTGTTTTCACACTGTGGACTCCAGTATAAACCGTAGCTATTTGTGTGTGTTCTTGGTACATAAGGAAAGACCATATCTAAACGAAAGTTCCGGGTTCAGGATTTGCTTCACACCCAATTTTATCAACTTTATTTCCTCAGATTGAGCTAAGAGAACGAGAAATAGAACGACTATCACTTGCTTTGGATGGCGGCCGTTCCCCTGATGTCCTGTCTCTGGAGACTAGAAATAAAACCAATGAAAAGCTTATCGCTCACTTAAATGTCCAGGTAATGGCTCTCAGGGCTGCTTCCTTGAGTCTGTAAAAATCTGAGGTTCTTTTTTTTTTTTTTTTTTTTTTTAATTTATTTATTTATTAAGGATTTCTGCCTCGTCCCCACAACCGCTTCCCATTTCCCTCCCCCTCCCCCGATCAATTCCCCCTCCCTCATCTGCTCGAAGAGCAATCAGGGTTCCCTGACCTGTGGGAAGCCCAAGGACTGCCCACCTCTATCCAGGTCTCGTAAGGTGAGCATCCAAACTGCCTAGGCTCCCACAAAGCCAGTACGTGCAGTAGGATCAAAAACCCACTGCAATTGTTCTTGAATTCTCAGTATTCCTCATTGTCCGCTATGTTCAGCTAGTCCGGGTTTATCCGATGTTTTTTCAGACCTAGGCCAGCTGGCCTTGGTGAGATCCCAATAGAACATCCCCATTGTCTTAGTGTGTGGGTGCACCCCTCGTGGTCCTGAGTTCCTTGCTCGTGCTCCGTCTCCTTCTGCTCCTGATTTGGACCTTGAGATTTCTGTCCGGTGCTCCCGTGTGGGTCTCTGTCTCTGTCTCCTTTCATCGCCTGATGAAGGTGAGGTTCTTAAAATGACCTGTGGGTTGATAAAGTGGCAGGCTTGTTCACTGAAGTATTTTTTATAAGGGAGTTTATATTATTTATATTTATAGGGGAGTTTTTATTATTTATTAGGGAGTTTTTGTTTGTTTTATTCTTTTTGAGACAGGGTCTTACTATATAACCTAGGCTGACTAAAACCCTCTATGTAGACCAGGCTGGCCCTGAACTCACAGAGATCCGTCTGCCTCTGCCTCTCCAGTTCTGGGATTAAAGGCGTGCGCCACCATACATGACTCTGGGGAGTTTCTGACAGAGCAGAGAAATGAGGAATAGCTTTGAGAGACCAGAATCCCTAATGAGCAGCAAGTAAGATGGGTCTAGTGTTACAAACATAAAAGAAGACCATAGTCTCTGGGCAGTGCTCTTTTCAAACCCATGAATGAGTGAGGCGTCGTGACACATTCCTGTAATCTTGTACTTGGGAGGGAGAGAGGCAGGAAGACTGGTTTATGGCCAGTCTCAGCCTCATAGTAAATTCTAGACTGTCATGGGTTACATGAGACCCTATCTCAAAAGAACAAAGCAACAAAATATATAGAGAAAAATCAGAAGGTTTTGTTTTAGTATATTTTAAAATATACTAACAAAGTTTATCTTTGTGTCTTGGGGAATTCTTGGTGACCCTGTATTTTTAAAAACTGATAATTTTAAGGTAGATATATGCTTATATATGCTATAAGTTATAGATGATATGTACTGTCTGTGATATATGTTGTATGATGCACAATATTATCCACTTTGTTCTTTATATACATATTATACAGCATATATTTACATGTAATCTATTATTGACTGTTAATGTGATAGTGTAGCTTGGTAGTAAAAGCTTGTGTAACACACAAGTCTCAAGTCCAACCTCACCACTGCCAAGAAGGAGTAACACAGATAAAACATGCAGCTTCTGTCTGCTTGCACCAGGCCTCCACCTGAGAGGAAGAAGCAGAAGAGCCCTATAAGGTGTGACATGGGAGCTTAGAAGTTTAGATACAGGGCGGGGCTGCGGGGCTGTCTGTACGTAATAGGTGGAGTTTGCTCAGAGACAATAGAGGCAACATTCAAATACACTGTCCAATAAAAACGTGAGTCCAGACAGATGGGATGCAGTATAATTGCAAATAATGTATTTATCCCAGTATATCCCAAACTTCATTTCAGCATGTGATAGTTTTACTTTCCTAAAACAACAACAACAACAAAAACCCCAGAACTTTGAAGCTTCATGCCGTTTACATTTATAGCACATCTTAGTTTAGAGTCGCCATGTTTAAAAGTGCTTGGCAGCTACATCTAGATGCTAATAGCTACTGTATTGGACAGCACAAGCTAATGTCAGTATGACAGCCTTGTAGTATTTTTATAGCTCTTTTGGGAACAAGTTCACACAAATTTCTTATCCTTTCCTTCTGTATTTTGAAGTAATAGGGGGCGGCGGGGCCGCTTCCCCAGCACCCCAGCCGCCCGCTCAGCTAGCTTATGCCCCAAAATAATTACACAGACACTGTATTCTTTTAAGCACTGCTTGGCCCTTTAGCTCTAGCACTTACAGGCTAATTCTCACATCCCGATCAACCCATCTCTAATAATCTGTGAGAACCGGTCTTACCGGGAAGATTCTAGCCTAGTCCATCCTGGGTCGGAGCTTCATGCCAGGAGCGGGGCATGGCGTCTCTCTCAGGCGTCTGCTCCTGAGATTCCTGAGCTCACTTCCTCTTCCTCCCAGCGTCCTGTTCTGCCTACTCCTCCCACCTATCCTCTAACCAATAAAATGGGCCAGGGCAGTGCCTTTATTAGCCAATGACCTTCCTCCATCAGTATTTGAAAAATAAAAGCCAGTGGACATGTATTTTCATTGAGGTACATATTGTCAGTTTGGCAAAATAAATAGTATTTAGGGTTACACATACAAAAATAGCTTCATTTGACTTCAGCATCTTTTAAAATGCAGTTGTTTAGAACTTTTAGTTTGAAACTTTATCACATGATTGTAAATTGGATTCAGGTTGACTTCCTTCAACAAGCTAATAAAGAGCTGGAGAAGCATATTCAAGAGCTGGTGGAAACCAAGGAAACGGTGACAAGCGAAGTTGTGAACCTCAGTAACAAGAACGAAAAGCTCTGCCAGGAGCTAACGGAAATCGACCAGCTAGCGCAGCAGCTGGAAAGGCACAAGGAGGAAGTGCTGGAGACTGCCGACAAGGAGCTCGGGGAGGCAAAGGTGATACTGGCCCTGTGCTGTGGGGTCTCACTAGCCCTGAGCACAGTGAACTGAGCTCGGGATGGCCATGCTCAGCTTTGCTTGCTCGCTGCAGACATGTTTCTACCTTTAACAACTCAGGGTTTTCTTAAGCGTTGTTCTCACCTGTTAGAAGATGGCCTTTGCTGTAGTTGGTTTAGTTTTCCTGAAACACACCTGCTCTAGAGTAAAGGTCTACACACCACCCTGATGTCCTCTGTGGCTTCCATCCCTGTCATTTTATCTCTGAAGTCTGTCCTCTTGTCAGATTTAGCTCAATAACCCTTGAAAGATTATATTGCATGTGGGTATGTGTTTATATCATGTACATGCTTGTGTGTGTTTGTTCACATGTGTAGGCATACGTATATGCATTGGTGAACATGCTCGTCTGTGAGCATGTGTGTGGAGGCCTGAAGCTGACGTTGGCTATCTGCCTCAGTCACTCTTCCTTTATTTATCTGTGCAGGGTCTGCCTCTGACCTCAGAGCTTACTGTTTCAGCTTTGTCTAGCTTGTGAGCTTGCCCTAGGGATCCCAGCTCGGCCTCCTTACTGCTGGGATTAGAGTTGTTGCCAAACCTGCCCAACTTTCATATGGGTACTTGGGAGCTGCACTCTCGTCATTAAGCTTGTGCTGCTTGTGCGTTCGCCTCTGAGCCATCTTCCCAGCCCCTAAAGGTATTATTAAAACATTTTCCAGCATTTACAGAGAGACTGAAGCAGGAAGACTGTGTGTTCTAGGCTAGCTTGCCATACACTGTGAAACCATATCTAAAACTAAAACAGTACTGTGATGCCTTCTCAGCAATTAGACAAATAAATAAATAAAACAGAATAAAGTAAAGGGCATACACTTTTCAAAGAAATAGTAAAAATTTTTGTTCATATGTTATATGACCTTAATTTTGGAAAATTCAAAGATTTGAACACAATGAGATAGGATAAATAAGTTTAACAAATTGCATCTTACACACACACACACACACACACAAATCACATACAATTTCGTATACTAAAAATAAAGAAAATCAAACAAAGAAATTAATTAATCCTTTTGCAGCTGCATCAGCAAGAATGAACTTAACCAGTTAGGTGAAAACTTTAGACATACTAGAACATTCATGAAAATTAAAGGGCGTGTAAGTGGAAAGGCATCCTGTGTGCATTTATAGGTTGTAAAACCACACAGTCTCTGAAGTCAACTCAAGTCCTACCAGGATGCAGTGCCAGTTTTTCTAAAGTGGAAAATAGTCTGGAAGTATATATGGACTCTCAAGAGACTGTATAGCCAAACAGTCTGGGACGAAGATGTGGATTGGGGACGTAGCCCAGTTTGCAGAGTGCTTGCCCACATGCACGAGGCCCTGGGCTTGTTCTTCAGATCTGGGGAAAGGTGTGGGGGTAACGAATTCGTAGTTGTGACTCCGCGTTTCCGGTTTTAGTGCATTACTATCCTCGGTGTCTTTCCTCCCTTGTTCCACTCCTTTCTGTCCATTCTGTGCTTCCACATGCGCAGCATTGAATGTGACTCCTCATGGCCCGTTGACAAGGCCCATAGATGTCAACTTGACGCAACAAAAGATGCTGTTGGATCACAGTCTTTCAGTGGTTTCTGCTCTCTCAGTTGTGGTGCAAGAGATCCAGGTTAATCAAAGCAGCTGAGAACATGAGGAAGATGGTTAGGAAATGAGCACCTTCATTCCCCAGAGCTGAGGCCCGAGACGGGAAACTCGAAGTGCTTCTCTACTTGATAAGCGAGTCCACACAGCTTTCAGGGCAGTGCAGTGTTAAACAGAGCTATCATCTCAACTTCACCCTCTAGTCACTGAACGAGGGTCCTAGACTTTACTGACAGAGAGTGCGTACCAGCTGGTCTTACTCCTTACGCCATAGTAATGCTCACCTAATAGACTTTTTATTCCTAGAAAGAGATTAAAAGAAACCTCTGTGAAATGAGGAACCTTGAGGAAAAAATGGCAAAACTTCAACTGGTAAGTTGATGTCACACTATCGTCAGTGTTTTGAGCATGGAATTGATGCCCAGATTTTATAAGTCTCTTGAGAAACAATGTATATGGATAATATTCAGTCTTTTTAGTGGACTGTGTGGTTTTGGCATAGTCACAGAATTGTAGGACCATCACTGCTAATTCCAGAACATCATCATTTTGGAAAGAAACCTTATATTTATCAGTAGTCATCCCATTACCTTCTGTTTAGCCCTTGGCAGCCACTCACCTACCTTCAGTTCTAGAGTTCTCATTCTGACAGCTTGTATAAATGGATCATCATGTATTGTGTGGCCTTTTGCATCAGGCTTCTTAGCGTGTTTGCAAGGTTTGTGAGGTCATAGCATGAATGGGAATTCCGTTCCTTTCTGTAGCCGAGTTATGAATGTTCCACACTGTGCTTATGTAGTTTTATCACTCTCTAATCTTTCATAACCTGGGTTTATAGATAACACGGAATATGAGCCCCTGGCAGGAATTCTGTATTCCTCTAACTACTTTATCTTAGCAGTTTCCTAGTGATAGTAAGATCAAGAACTGGTGTTTATTTGTTGCTATTAGAAGTAGTCATTCTCCTTTTAATTGCTTTGTTTGATGTAATTCAAGCTATTTTTCTAGTCACAATGCTTGTCCCTATGGCCTTTGGTGAGAAAGACAGGCTTTATCCAAAGAGACTCCTCAATATAGGGGCCCAGTGTGGAATTAGGAGAATGCCTTACAGGTTAAACTGGCCGTCATTCAGAGGTAGAAGGCTGTCTTCCTTGTGATAACCTACTATGTTGGAAGGGTTCCCTGTATGATTAGAAGCAAAGACCAACAGAAACTTGCATCTCTTCGTTATGTATAGTCTACACTGCTGTTTTCTGGGGACATGCTGTTTCTATGGGATGGTAGCCTGTATTCACTATTCGTGAATTTTTGAACACATAGCATGAACAGCACGATAGTGGCTTCATGATGGACAGTGGGACTTTCAGGGAAAAGAGTCATCTGGACTCGCTGCATTTTAAGTAACAGCAGGACTTATAAGAGGTGAATGTTATAAACAAGAAATTTCACTCTATACGTCTTTGAAGCAGTATGCTAAAGGCATTTGGAAAGGGAGAATGAGAGAAGAGAACTCACACATACATGTGTGTGCAGGAGGGTTTACTGTGGTTCACTATTGTCTGCACACTGAGTGCTGAGGGCGGTCAGCGGTGCTTGTCTCAGATCCATGGTCGGTTTCTGTGACATTGGCTGACACTGCCAGCAGGTTCTTATATTTCCTGTTAGTTTTATACTTTATGTATTTCTGAGCTAATAATTGATTGCTGATGTTCACTACACATTTGCCATGGCAGAAGCAGTGACTTTGTCACTGGTCTGCACTGCTGTGCTCTTTAAACATAGGCATTAATAAGTTGTGTTGTGCACAGTCGTACTCAGCCAGAGAGAAGTGGGACGATGTGCTAAACAAATGAGTAGTGAATAAAACGTAAGGGTTCTACCTTCCACAAAAGAGCATTATTAGCATGGGCTTCGTGGTGTGTTTAGTGTGTGTGTGTGTGTTTTGCTTTTAATTTTTTTTACATGCAGTTTATTTTGATCATACTTTTTCTCCCCTCACTTCTCCCAAATTCTCCTTCTCTACCCAACTTTCTTATCTCTCTTTCTCAATCTCTCCCTTCCTCTAAAACAAAACAAAAACAATTGTCAAAACAAATGAAAACCCTACTGGTAAGACCAAAAAAATTACCAAAACAAAAATAAAAATGCACATGAAAACATGGAGTCCATTTTGTCTGGCCAGCTGGGCATGGGGCCCGCCTTGGAGTATGGTTAATATACAAAGTGGCACTCTATTGGACAATACTGACTTTCCCTTTCCCAGCAGGTATCAATTGCAGATAGCTTTTCCATTAGGGGTGGGAGACTGTGTCCATTTTCCCTTCTCTGCTGGGCCCACATCTGGCCATGAACCCTGAGCAGGCCGTGTGTGCTGCCGCAGTCTCTGCGAGTCCCTTTGTGCATCAGTTGTCTTGTGTGCAGAAGACACTGTTTCCTTGTAGTTATCCACATCGCTGCTGACTCTTACCAGCTTTCCGATCCTCTTCCACACAGAGCCCTGATCCTTGGGGGTGGAGGCTTGATAAAGACACCCCATTTCGAACTGAGTGCCAATGTCTCTCACTCTGTACATCATCCAATCATGGTTCTCGATGTTAGTTCCCATCTACTGTGAGAGGAAACTTCTCTGATGAGAGTTCAGCATGGCAGTGATTAGAGTCCCAGCCCAGTATGCAGACTGGGTTCTGTTCTCTCATGGGTGGGGCAGTTTGTCACAATTGAAGTGATTAAAGCAGTGCAGGTTCACACACACACACACACACACACACACATGAATTGCTGTTTTATATGTGTATATATGTATATACATACATATGCTACAAAAGTATCCATTTTGCCTATAAGTATTAGAAATGTTTAGTAAAGTTATTAGGATACATAATTATAGAATTACCATTTTGCAGGAATTAGACTTATGCCACAAGGAAAAGGAGAGACTGAATGATGAGCTCCTTCTGAAATCAGACCTGGAAACTGTTGTTCATCAGCTTGAACAAGAAAAGAACAGACTTAGCAAAAAAATGGAAAGTTTTGCAGTCACAGGTAAGATGCCAAATGTAAGATAAAAAGTGACTTTGCCCTCTGTTTGTTGCACTAGTAGATGATCCTTCGTGCATTTGTTTAATAACAGTGCCAAGCCCTTGCTGTGAACCAGAAGTGATGCTGGGCAGGGTGGACACAATAGGAAGCCCTCCCTGAATTCTGACTGGTTGGCGCAGGAGAGGCTGTTGGAATGTTTCACAGTAGAAGTGTGTGCTTCTTTGAGGCAGACTAAAACCGTTCTGAAATGGCAGACATTGCAGTGCAGAGTCTTTTTAAAGGAACACTGTTATATTGCCTCAAAATCCGCACTTGGCCTCTGTCTGATCCCTCACTACTCTAGCTCCTCACCCCATTCCAGACGGCCTCTGTCTCCACCTCACCATCAGAACTGCCCTGCTTGAAGCCAAATGCAGCCCAGCTCTTCTCGCATTAGCTTATTCCTTTTTAACATTTACCACAGTTGCTCATTCCTTCTCGCTTTCCTACTCTCTTCTGACCTTGCTGGTCATTCCTTCGTGGGATAAAACGGCCAGTTCCTGAGTTTTCTAGTGTCATGGATTATTCAGTCACGTTTAGTAAATTGTGCATCTGCTGAATGAATGAAGGGGAAGATGGCAGCATCGCATTCATCATGAAAACCACTCTAGTCAGTGTCGGGAGTGTAGTTCCACAGGCTGAACTCTGTGAGGTTGCTAGTATTTGCTTTGTTTTAGATCATGGAAAAGTAACTTTTACTGATAAAAACTAGTCATTGTGAGTTGAATTGTTTGTGGTGATATATTCCTACAGTCCCGGGCATTTTAAGGGCACAAGGGCATTTTGAGCCCAGGAGTTTGAGTTAGTCTATACATCCTATCTCAAAAATAGCAGCAGAAAAGTAATCATTGTGCTTCTTGGGAAAAAATGAGTTGTTTTGGTTTCTTTGTGCATGTGTTAAACCCAAGCTTAGTGAAGTGTGAGCCTGTAGGGTTGTTGACTCTGCTTTCCTCAGTGCTCCTTGAGGGTCTCTGGGAAGCGTCACTCTTCTTTCATAGTGCTAGATGGTATCCAGCTGTGATAACTTCAGCAGAGGGTGGCCCTCACTTGTTGGACATTATTTATTGTTGATGTTTGGCTTTTGTTTTCTTCTCATTCTCTCTATTCGATATGTCTGATCTTTGTGGTTGACACAGAACAGTTCAGGATTGCTAGTAGTTTTTTGTTTATTTATTTGACTAATCCACATTATATACACAACATTATCTTAACTACTTTAATTTGCAGAAAGAGAACTGACTTTGGAAGTTGAGAGGATGAGGCTAGAACATGGGATAAAACGTCGAGACAAGTCGCCCTCTCGTTTAGATACATTCCTGAGAGGCATAGAGGAGGAGCGAGACTATTACAAGAAAGAACTGGAAAAACTCCAGCATATCATCCAGCGGAGAACTTGTTCTGTAAATTACTCTGCCCGGGAAAAGACCTCAATACTCAAATGCTCAGAAAAGGTAATACCTTTTATAAGAGTAATCAAAGGGGGATATGTGTGCGCATGCGTGTGTGAGATAAACCTTTTGCTTTATTGCTGTAATAAATGCAACATTATTTATACATAATTTTAAAAGTCCTAATCTTGATTTTTGTTTTTACAATAACTTGCAATGTAAGAGGAATCCTGCATTATTAGAGAAACTATCCAACAATAAAGGACAACATTTTGATTTCTATAAATTTAGGTTGAATAGCAGAGTCATGTGAGAGGCTTTGTAGGCTTTCAGAAGCCAGAACTCAGACTCAAAATACTGTTCGTTTCTGCTCTTTCCAGGATTTATGTTGTGTGACAGCTGCACTTTCCTTCTGCTAACAGAGTAGCTCTGTCCTCATGACACTCAACAGCCTTTTATGTCCTTCCCAGCTTTGGTGGTAGAGTTATGTTGTAGGGAGGAGCAGGCCCGCTGCCCGGTTAGCTTTCACCTGGAATAATTATACAGAAACTGTATTCATTTAAATGCTTGGCCCATTAGCTCTAGCCTCTTACTGGCTAACTCTCACATCTTGATTAACCCATTGCTATTAATCTGTATGTTAAAACAAGGTCGTGACTTACATGCATGAGTCTAACCAATGTCCATCTTGGGCAGGAGAAGCATGGCGTCTGCCACGCTGCCTTCTTCCTCCCAGATTCTGTTCTGTCTACCACGCCCATCTAAGGGCTGCCCTATCAAAAGGCCAAGGCAGTTTTCTTTATTCAACCAATGAAAGCAACACATAGAAAGAAGACCCTCCTGCACCAGAGTTAGAGCATCATCCCTTTCAGTGACTGTTCTCAGCGCCAGTACTAACTGAGTAAAGTGAGTGTGTGAGCGTGGAGACCTGGGGGTGCATTTCACGCCTAAAAGTAGATATTGTAAGCATGTGTAGAAGCACTTGGTTAGCAGACAGCCAAGGGCTCTCTCAATCTGGATCTGGTGCTGTGGCTGTCAGCTTCCTGTTTTATGGTAAACTGTTAAGCAGTTTCTTGGAATTACAATAAGTCAGGAAAAATTTAGGCGTTTTCCATATCAGTGATCTTTATTATCCATCCTCATTGAGCTTGTCTTGTCTTTGATGGGAGCATTTCCCCTTTAACCTTACACTCACTGTGGCTCCCAATCTGAGTCTGAGGACAGCCCGAGGAAGGCTTTGGAGCTGGAGGCCTGATGCAAGTTTCAGCTTCTTGTGCCAGCTGATGATAGGCCTTGGAGAAGCTGACTTCATGCAGCCCTGATTCCTCGTGTGCAGATACAGAAACATAACTCCATCTGCTTAGAAAGATTGAATGAGGTCATCGACATACGGGTCTTCTAGCATAGTATTTAGTTCCCAACTAGGAAACAGTTTGTTTCTCTATTGCTTGCTGGTTTAAAGTGGCTCTGATGTGTATGATTAAGTACAGTAGGTGTATAATGTCTTCGATGAATGAGGCATGGACTGTAGAGGTAATGATGATAATTCCTAAATAAATCAATATCAGAAATATATTTTATGTTAGTCGACAAAGACACTGATCTCAAATGATGATTCTGAGAAAAGTCAACAGAACAGTTCTGGTTAAAAAAATGACTATGTCTGAAACACACACACACACACACACCCTCCTTGTGGTGATTTGCATCTGTAATCTCAGTACTGTGGGAGAAGCAAGAGGGTTGGTATAAATTCAAGGCCAGCCTGGGTACAAAGCAAGTTCTGGGGCAGCTAAGGTTATATAGTGAGACCCTGTCCCAAAGTAAGAAGAAAAGGGATTCTTGATATTGTATCTTCAGCACTGTGCTTGTTGCTTATTAATGTGTTGAGAATAATAGTGGAGAAAGGGTGTTAACATACGTTGCGTAATACTAATGTAAATATTACACACAAGATACATTTGCAGAAAAGTTTAGCATTCTTCCTCAAGCAGTAAAGCCAGGTGTCATACCAGCTACTGAACACAAAATGACAGGAACAGGAGCCCTGTGTCTCTGACAGAAATTCAATCTAGTAAGTACATTAATGTAAAAATTTACATCATACCCCTTTACAGTATGTAAATTTAGGGGTATATCTTCCATTGAGCTACATCCCTGGCTGCTAAGTAACTTTACTATCTCATTTATATTAAGTGTTGATGAAGACTGTCCAGAGCAATTCAGAACATACATCTGAGTTATGTGGAGAATCTGGAAGGAGTCCTTGTAGAAAGTGACATTTAAGTCAGTAATGAAAACAGTTATGGGTCTTTATTCATTGCACTCCGTTTCCAGGGTGTGCAGACTACATTCTGTAAGATGTTAGGTCTCAGGTTTTCCTCTATGTTTTTCAGCTGCTGTGTAAAACAGCTTTGCCCTTTAATGCAGCCGCGATATCCAGCTATGTCCAGCATGCTTTAGTTGTGCTTGTTCCTATGTGGAAGCTGCCTCACACGTTTCCACCACATACTGAATCGTCACGGGTGTTGTCTGTGCTCAGTGGATATCTGTCCAGTTGTATTACTTTACTCTTGCTGTGACAAAACACTAGGACCCAGGCAACTTGTAAACTAAAGTGTAAATTAGGCTTATGGCTTCAGAGAGATCCACGCCATGAAAGTGGAACAAGGGAGTGGCAGGAACAGCTGAGGGTTCACATTTGGATCCACAGGCAGGAAGCAGAAAGCATACTGGGAAAGGGAATTTTTTGAAGCTTCAAATCCTGCTCCCAGTGGCACCTCTTCCATCAAGGTCACGTCTCCCAATCCTTTCTAAACAGTTCCAACAACTTAAAACTAAGTATTCAAACATGAGCCTATAGGGGCTCTTATCATTTCAGCTGCCACATTACTATAGCAGTTTATCTGGGTTTCTATATTTAGGTCATTGACACGCTGTAAATTTACCATCCTCATGGCAGTCATGATTTTTGAATTATGCTATGATAGCAGATATATTCTTAGAAATGTTGGAAATCAGTGGATTGTTGGAAGAAATTTTGGTTAGTCAGTTCACATCTCAATAGGTACTGACTTGTACCGTTGCACAGATGGACCTCATGTGGTATGAAGCTGGGACAAGAGTTGGGGCTATTTTACCTGAGATGCCAGCCATAATGGTCATTCATAGAAGACAGGACACACATACCTCCCTGGACTCTTCCTTGGGAGAGTTATAAAGAAGTGACTCTGAGCACTTAGCATGCATCAGAATGACTAGAAGACCTGACAAAATGTCCTATGCTCTCCTCCCAAGGAGCCCAGCATGGGCCCTCCACTTGATGTGCACACCAAGCTTCTAGGTGCTGCCGATCTCCTGGTCTAGAGGTTATAGTTAGGTGCCACTGGTGTGCACTAGAGCAGCTCGGGGGGCACCTGTGGAAGCCTCTGATGAGATCTGCACAGGTGGTGTTATTGGCAGCCGTGCACCTTCCTGAGAACCCAAAGCCAGGAAGTTTGCACCATTCCTGCCAGTGCTTTCATCTGCTCTCCGGAATTTATCCTTTAATTACATAGAAAGAACTTCTGTTCTTCTGTCTGTGAGCCTGCTGCAGCCAGCCTCGTCACCAGCGTCTCTGTGACAGCCGTGCGGTTGTAATTATAACAAATGATAATGTGGATCTGTGTAATTGTTTCAGGGCGATCACAGTTCAGACATTCATCTGATCTCAAGAGAACGAGATGAGCTCCAACGCATGCTAGAGAGATTTGAAAAATACATGGAGGATATTCAGTGCAATGTGAAGCTACTCACAGCGGAAAGGGACAAACTCAGTGTCTTGTATAACGAAGTAAGGAGTGGGTCCTAATTATTGCACAGGTCATTTCAACTCAGTTAGCTATAATGGAGCCCCTTTCTATCCTGCGTGTTTTCCTGACACATGGGACTCAGGATTTCCCTCCCCAATTAAGATGATAAGTGGTAGTAGTTTGGACTGTCATCGTCTTCTCAAAACAGAAATTTCTCTTCGTTTTTCATGTTTGTTTTCCCTCTTTCTAGTTTATCAATGTGTCGGGTCAGTTAGAGATGGTCTCTTTGTTCTAAAATTAACTGAAGAGACCTTAGCTGACTCTGTGTCAAAACTGTCATGAGCTTTAGACATGCTACCACATATCTGAGTCCTAGGGATAAACTGGATATGCAGCCCCTGTTTGAATTGCTGGCTCTTAAGTTAGCCTCTAATTCTGAGAAGATGACGATGGCTCTGTCGTCAGAGTGCCTGCCACACAAGCCTGAGGCCCTGGGTCAGATCCCTAACAACTCAAATCCAGGCATACTGGCTCTCATCTGTAAGGTGAACACTTGAGGGGTCAAGACAGGTGGGTCTCCAGAAACTATTAGCCCAGGCTAACCGGGCAGTGAGAGACGGTGTTGTATGCTCTTGGGGAAAATCTGCTTTGGGGGGCCAGCACTGCCACAGCCTGGCCCTGCTACAGAGCCTGAGCTGGCAGACAGGAAGCTGACTGAACAAATCCTGGAGTTTGTAGCTGGTTTGTCCACACCTCTCTCTCATGAAGTCCCTCACTGTTTTGACAGGAGGGGAAGACATTGAAGTGAAAAGAGACATGTTCACTTTTGTGAGCTTTTCTAGGACTTGGCAGGGCGTTCACTACATGGAGCTCCCCACAGTAGACTTAGCTCTCAGCCTTCTGGAGTCTACCTAGTTAATTCTTCTCTGTCCGTCTACTTCTAGTTTCCAGTGTTGTGTGGCTGCAGCTTCTTTCACTCTTCTTGCCTTTGGGACTTTAGTATTTAATTTTAATCCTTTTACTTTTATTTTATTGGGATTTGGGAAGAAAGGGAAAGAAGCATGTATTTAATGTATCCGTATCCCAAGCCTTTTTAAAAATAATGGAATATATCTAAAGTACTTTTCTATCTCTTACTGCTTGAAGGCTAAGGAAGAGTTGTGTGCACTGAGAGAGGATTCTACTAATATGACAGTCCCCAACAGTCTTGTTAGTTGTATGGAGGAGAAAGAGCGTGCATTATCTGACTTAAGAAGAATCACAGCAGAAAAGGAAGCTCTGCGAGAGAAGTTGAAGGTCAGTAATTCAGCTTATATCCTTTGGAAAGGAACTGATTGAGTACTGGGGGAGAAAGTGAAGTAGCATGCCTTATTATACCCTTGCCCAGCTGCCACCCCATGACTGTGATTTCCTGGGAAGTTACTACTTAGTATATCCGCCGAGGTGGAGCCAGCTTAGCCGCAGCCCAAACTGAAGCACCTTGTTCATGTGTGGCCCCATAGCTAGAGTATTCCAGCACTGATTAGGTGTTGTCCATAGCTGCTTTCCATGGTAGCAGAGTTGGGAAGTCAGAGCGGGCACATTAAGCTCCAGGACCCAAGGCATTTGCCATCAGTCCTTGCAGAAGCAATATGCCACACCCTGAATTTGGGATTGTTGTAGGTAGATAGTCTTTTCTTCTTTACTTAATGACAATGGTTATTTTTCACCTAGCAGACAGTTTACCTATTTAATGAAAGGGACAGTTCAGTGGCTTTTGCTATCCCTTTTCTCCCTGTCTTTTATAACTTCCAGCATAATTAATCTTAGAAAAACTCATTACCACAGAAAGGAATCTTGTGTCCATTATAATAGCTTCAGTTTGCCCCAGGCCTTCTCTGCTGTAGGCACTACTAATTCACTTTCTGCCTCCGTGCGTTTGCCTTCTGTGAACATTTCATATGAACTGAATCATTAAACGTGATCATTTTTTCATTTTGTGATGCTGGGCATTGAACCCAGGGTCTAGCATGTACAAGAGAATCACTCTACCACTGAGCTATCCCAGTCCACATGTGTTTTAATGTTTGGTGTTTCTCAGCATGCTATCCTTAAGGTTCGTCCATGGGTAATGCTCGTAGGAGTGTTTGTGTGCAGTTTTTATTCCTCTTCGGTGGATTACGAGTCTTATAATTGCTCCTGAATAAGTGTAGTAATGAGTGTTCTTATTGTAGAAGCCATGGATGCTTCCACTTAATATTATGAAATAAATGCTTTGAAAGTAACTACTTAGGAACAAAAACTAAACACTTTAAGCATAGTCTTTATGCTACAAATCTTAGTTAAAGTTTTATACCCAAAGGCAGTGTAAGAATGTTTTTAATGGGAGTCTTTTGGAATGCTGCCTTCTAGAAAAAAAATAAAGTCAGTTAAAATTACCAGAGAGAAAGCTTCTGTGCAATATGGCACCCTTTAGCACAGCTACGCACTTACCCTTTTCCGTATCTGTTGTAATGACCAGAAATGTAAAAATAGACTTTTTAAAACACCGTATTAGTGCTAACAGCTCAGAAAGGCTGCATTCTGATTAGTAGACCCTTCTGGGTTGTAGGAGGCCGGATTTTGTGAATTTCCAAGAGAACTTTCTCTTAAAAACAGCTCTACTTGCCGGGCGATGGTGGCGCACGCCTTTAATCCCAGCACTCGGGAGGCAGAGGTAGGCGGATCTCTGTGAGTTCAAGACCAGCCTGGTCTACAGAGCTAGTTCCAGGACAGGCTCCAAAGCCACAGAGAAACCCTGTCTCGAAAAACAAAAAAACAAAAAAAAAAAAAAAAAAAAAAAAAAAAAAAAAAAAAAAAAAAAAAAAAAAAAACAGCTCTACTTTCCTGACTCCTCCAGCCTTCTGGAGTGTTTCCTGCCTCCTGTCTCCTGACCCTGCTCTCCAGCAGCCTTTGAGACTAAGCTCTCCCTGAAAGCTCTGAGTGACAGCTGTCAGCCAGGGCCATCGGTGCTGCCTCCTGAACAGCTAACTGTTCCCAGTGCTTTTTAAACAGGAGCCATCACAGTAATCTTCACAAAAGCCTTTCTGATGGTTCCTGTGTAGAGACGAGAGCCCTGGATTTGAATGAATTTAAATAACTTGCCTAGCCCCCCCTTGTCTGTGTTTACAGTCTCCTTGCATCCTCCCTCCCTTCCTTTCAGTTGTTCTCTTCTTTGTCTTCTGCCCCCATCCTGTTGTGGCTATGCTCACGGGCATTCTTACAGTGTTGCCCTTGTGCTCTGACGCACCTTTCAAAGATGTAAGTCTGGTCATGTTACTTCTAGTAAAGTTAATTACCTGTTAAAAGATCATTAGCGATCAGCCCTGGCCTATGTTAAGGCCTGTCATCTTTCCCCGACACTCATTTTTGCTATTTCCTACTCCTTTTTCTCCAGACTCTTGGCTTAAGGGGCCTTTTCTTGCCATGAGTCTCCTGCAGTGGACTGAGAGTCTTCCACCTCTTCAGATGTCTCTGTACTCATCCTCTAGCTCCAGGTTAAGCCTCAGGCAGTGGGCACGAGGCTCTAGATGACTATTGACATATGAAAATAAAGCTCCTTGCCTAGTAAAAAAAACCTACTTGTTTATGTTTATTTTCCTTTATGCTTGAGAATTTCATGCATGTTTATAAATGAAGTATGATCATATTTATTATTCTTAGCCCCTCCCAACTCCCCTCATGTTTCAATTTCCTTTCTTTCTTCCTTTCCTTCCTTCTTTCTCTCTCTCTTTTTTTAATAACTGGAGTCATTGCTGCCTATATGTGTGGTTTTGGGCCATCCACTGGGGCATAGGAATTTTATCAACAATCATATCCTTACAAAAGAATGATTCTCCCTCTTCAGACTATCAACTGCCAGCAACTCCTCAGTGAAGGGTGTGACCTGGAGACCATCTACTCCACCTGTACAACAGTGTTGACTGGCTTGGTTTTGTGTGTGCCTTGTGCACATAATCCCAGCAGCTGTGAGTGCGGGAGTGTGGTGGCCATGCCGTGTCTGGAGGACAGCACTTCACAGCACCCTTCCCCAGCTTGCAGCTCTCACACCCTTCCTGGCTCCCCTTCTCTGACATTCCCTTAGCCTCGGTTGGAGAGAGGGAGTTGATATCCATGTCCGGTGTAAGCCTCTTATTCTCAACACTTGGGCGATTCTGCATCTCTCCATTGGCTGTGGCCCCCTGCAAAGAAGGTCGAGAGAGCAGCCCAGGTGTGTAGGTGTGAGCGCAAGCATTTGGAGGCACTTTAACAGCATGGCCATTTACAACAGCAGACTCAGTAGCCATGCAGTTCCCTCTGTGGAGCAGGCTTTGAGTCTAATGAGAAAGGGGTACCCTGTGACAGCCCTGCCACCGCTGCACCAGTGGCACATGTTACCTGGCAGGTGAGTGTTGCCATATGCAAGGTCTAGGATTCGGTGTGCCTCTTGATGTCCGTCTTCCTTTAGCAACCTGCAGAGCACTTTCTAACAGGATTTAATTTATTTTGAGACAAGGACTCATGTAGCGCAAGCTGACTTAAACTTGCTCTAGAACTTAGTATCACCTTGAACGCTTGGCCTCCTGCCCTCATGGCTTTATTTTAGTTTCTTGTTTTAGGTCTGTCTTTCTTACTCTATATAATCTATGATGTCAGAGACTTTCCTCATGGCTGCGCCCTGACAACTTGCTTGGTGTTTGATATAGAACACATATCAGCACTGTTTAAATGATTTAATTAACACAGCCGTGATCCCTTAAACTAGATGTACAATCGTATGGAATCCAGCTTTCTAATGAATAGCATGAATACGAGTAAACATCTCCGCTAGAAAAACTCAGTGACCATGACATTCTGTGCCCTTGACTTGGCAGCAGCTGGAGCTTGTGATATAATATAACCAGAAAACAAACCATCTATACCAGCCAGTTCTTAAACTAATCTTATTCCATTCCCTATATCTTCCTTGTCATGTATTTTCTTCTGATTCCTGTTTTTCTTACCTCTGAGCTCTAATCTAGCATGAGATTCTTGGTTCTATGAGTGGCCCTGTTTAAAAAAAAAAAAAGTGGGTGTTGGTGGGGAATGTACATCTCCTCTTGTGAGGGCGCATTCCTGCCCTGTGACTTAGTGTGCTCTCCCCGTATGATGCCTGTGTTAACAAGGATCCATCCAGCTAAGTCTTTTTAAATGAGTCCACGCTATTTTCTTCTCTGTGTGACACATGAAGGTTGGAAACATAACGTTTTCTAACTGAAAAAATGCTTTTGTAAAATGCCTGACCTTTCTAAAACATTTATAGAGTCTGTGCAATAGGAGACAAACTTGCATTACTTACTTTTGTGATTATTTGATACAGATGAACATTCTCTATGCAATTCTTTTTCAGAATATCCAAGAAATGAATGTTTTTGGAAAATCAGAATTAGAGAAGACTATTGAACATTTGACATATATGAATCACCAGGTAATTTATCAAAGGATTTGGGGAATATTATATTAGATGGATGACTGGGCCACTGATGCTTTTAGTGTTCTGTATGTCTTTGTAAACTGATATGCAGCGAGGAAAAGTGTGTGCTCTGAGACTTGTTACTTGGTTCAAATCTGGCTTCCTGTCTAGACCAGTTTCTTGATTTCTGTCTTCCGGTGTTTTTCATTTATGTCTTAAGACTAGCACTTCTGTTTCTTGGGGTTTCTGTGAAAGTGTAATAGATGAACAACATGCATGTCACACTTAAGACTACTGGAATATTGCAGGCATCTGTAGTGGCTAGCTGTGATTATTGTGGTTTGGTCTTATAAACACCAATAATCAGACTAAAAAGTGAAGCTCACTGTTAATTTTCTTGATAATTAGCCCTCAGTATCTGCAGGAGATTGCTTCCAGGACATCCTCAGATACTCAAATCTGAAGATTCTCAAGTTTGTTGTATAAAACAGCTTAATACTGCATATAATCTATACATTGTCCCATATCTTTAAATCACATTTATATTTCTTATAGAGCTTAACTATCTAATACCTTATACAATGTAAATAGTTGTAATGCTGTGTTGTTTAGGAAATAATGATGGGGAAAACTGTATATGATCAGTACAGATGCAGCCATTCTAGACTAACTAGATAGTATGTATTTTCTACAGTTGGGTACTCTGAAATTTCAGAATTCATATGGAAACAAAGAGCCAAAAGTAACATAGAAGGAACATTGATTGTTCCTTAAAAGGAACATTGATTGATACTGGGTTTTTAGGGCCATTATAATTAAGATAAGGACTAATCTTTATTATCCTTATCTGACTAAATCAAATATAACAAACCTGCATAAAAGGAACCTAACATGTACAGAAACAGATCAGTGAGTAGAGTATGATTTAGTGGTTCTTTCCTAAATGAAATATATTAAGAATGAGAAATTGGCTCCTGCCTCAAACAGACCACACCCAGCAATCGTTTTAAGATTATTTACAGCTAGCTACTTGAGGCTGAAGCATGAGGTTCACATGTCGGCCTCCAGTTTGAGCAGTAGCCAGGCCTACTTGGACCATGGCTGCAGCAGCCACTGAGAAATACTTGCCAGGGTGTGAAGAGGGAAGCACCCCTGTTCCTTCCTCAAAGCCTAGTCTCTCACAGGGGTTATATTTGTGAGCCAGGATGAGCATGGACCAGCCGAGCTCTCAGGGTTTCTTATCCAGTTACAAAGGCTGGGGCTGATTTTTGGTGTGGCTGCTTTCTTCAACAGCCATCCCTTTGCTGGCCCCACCTTACTCTTATTTATTTTCTGGCCCAGCCTGCGGTCTTTCAACTTCTCTGCTCTGGCATTTGCTGTAATTACCTGGCTAACAGCTGCCAGACATAACCAAGTCACACGAGTACGCCACTGCCTGAAGTTTTCTCCTCCAGGTTAATTAGTATTTTGACATTTATGACATTGTCACAAGTCTCAGGGATGCACAGAACTTACACTGTAACACACATGGCTTCTAGTTCTTTCCTCCTGAGTTCTTGTTTCCATTTGAAACTATGAACCTGGCCCTTAGCTGTCTACATTCCTGTCAGCATTCTGATCTTCTCCCATCAGAGTTGCCTAACTGGTTCTGCCTTTTAACAGTCTTGGCTTTTGGTAGCTCACTTCTCTAAACTCTTCCAAGTCCCTTCTGTAAGCTAGTTCCAAAGGCTTCTGAACTCCATGCTTAGGGAATCACAACAGCCCACTTCTCTTTTGCCTGTTTTCTGTGTTTGTCAACCTTTCCTTCCTGTGAGCAAGGCAATGTAAGGAAAGGTTTATCTGGACTTCTGGTTTCAGGGGCTCAGCCCATGGCTGCTTCCATTGCTTGGCTCTGAAGCCAGTGGTGGTGGAGAGGGTCTGCTAGACTAGCACTGCTCACCTGACAGCAGAGAGCCGTGAAGGTGGGAGGCAGGGAACATGGTGCATCATTCTCAGGCCACACCTCAGCAACCTCCTTACTTCTAAGAGGTCCCTTTTCCTGAAGTTCCCACACCTCCCCAAAAAGTGCCACCAGCAGGGGACCAAGGCTTCAACACCCGAGTTTGTAGTGAGCATTTCGTGTTTAAAGCACAGCAGGCATGAATAGCAGCTGCAGGCTTCCAAGGCAGCAGCAACTCATTCCTAGAGAGTTGCTCTATATGGAAGGTCAGCAAGCTGTGGCTCCTAGACTAGACGCACTAACTGCTCTGTCAACTGGGTTTTAGTGAAGATAGTGAGCGGGTTATTTGCTGTGTCTCTGTATTGTCTGCATCTGCTACCGTGCTTCACTGGAGTGGCAGTGACAGACAACAGGCCCCATAAAGCCAGAAGTATTTATTTGAACAAGTTGGTGATTGTAAATCATCCAGTGGAGTGATGTTGAGCAGAAATAGGATGAAAGTTACTAACCTCAACATGTATGGCTGCTACCATGCGTGTTGTACCAACACAGTAAGTTGCTGAAAGCCTAGAGTGTGATTCTATTCAGGTAAAACAAATGAAACTACGCGGTTCATGGCTTAGGAAGGAATGCCACAGAAGAGAAACAGGATGCTTGGTGCTGTGGTGCATGCCTGCAGATTGAGCCCTGTAGGAGGCTGAGGCAGGGGGATCATTTGAACATAGGAGTTCAGGATAGTCTGTGGAACATAGCAAGATCCCATCTTTAAAACAAACAAACAAACAAACAAAACCCAAACAGAAAATAAGAAAGAAGATTCAGGATTGTGGTTTTGTATGGCAGGAAAAGAATATCACTACAGCCTGCTCATGGAGGGTCAGATGTATTTTTTAAACCACATAAGAGATATTCTTTTTGTTTTATGATTTCTTTATATTCTGCATGCTCTTATATGGGGGAAATGGGTGTGTTTTCTTATCCATTTATACACAAAGCCCAGTTTTAGTTGCCATAGCTTTATTGTTTATTTTAGTATCTCTTATGGTAAATTTATTTCTGTTCTTTCATTCCCAGTTTGTCCTTTCTTCTAAAAGAATTAAAGTATAAGGTACCATCCATTCCTAATTGAATTGCTTTTATTGGCATTTCATTGAATTTATAACTTGATGAAATTTTAACACATTTAAAGTATTATGTTCCTACCCAGAGAAGCATGGCAGTCTACATTGTCAGGTCTCTTTTTAGGCAGTACAGGGAAACTTTCACTTTGTTTCTCATATAAATCTCGACCATTTTGTGGTTACATTCTTTTAAACTCTTATTTTTGTGTAATTCCTGTCTGCTTATTGTAGGTTTGAGGGTTACTTTTTGAGGGGGAGGTGTCTCTTGGTTCCAAAAGCTAGAAATGAACCATGGAGGGTTTTGAGGCTTTTGTTTGTGTTTTAGGAAGTTCCTCTGATTTTTCATCCTGCTTATCGTCTCCCTTCCTGTCTCATTTGTGCTGTGTGTTTCTGTTATTGTTGTGATAGTGAGGAAAGAAAGGCAGAGGATGCACTGATCCTGACATTTTGGTCTTAAGAGTACAGATGATGTTCAGTGTGTTAAAAATCTAACATATTTCCATAATTGTCTTCCAGAAATATTATTAAAGTATAGCTATGAAAAATAAGATATTACCATATATATGATTATTAATGTTTTAAATTTAAATTATAGCTTGAACATGAAAAATATGAATTGCAATCTAAAATATTAATAATGAAAGAAACAGTAGAGTCATTGGAGACCAAATCAAAACTCCAAGCTCAAAAGCTTAGCCACGTGGCTGGTGACTCATCTCATCAGAAAACAGAGATGAACTCTCTTAGGTAAGTCTGTTAAAGATTTCGTTACTTCTCCTCTGGGACATGCTTCTTCTGGTTATGCAAGGTTCATCACCATGGCATTCAGCTCTGTGTCTTTAAACAGTGCTTTCCCAAGTTGGCCTCATGGTACCGTCTTCTTGGAGCTTCTGGAGAGGATAGAGGGAGGTCTGGGGTTACCTGATTTACCTGAGTGAGTCTGGATAGATCTGGGTATCTGTAGTTTGAAACTTTCACAAGGTGACATGATCGTCAGTTGTTGGTACCTTAGTAAATATTCAAGACACTGTGCTCTGCAGGGAAGGACTGCTGGGCTCTTAGGCCTTCTACCTTGTGGACCTTTTCCTCCTTTTTCTTTCCTCTTTTAAAATAATAGAAATTCAGAATGTTTCATGTCCTTTTTTAAACCATTCTGATTTAGAAAACGAAAATGTAGCCAAAGGCTAGGAGAGCTAACTCTGATAACACAGAGAGCATGGATTTGAAGTCTTCGAGATGGGCGATAAGCGACAGAGGTCATAGGTCAGGACTGAGACAGTATGGACTTGAAGGGAAAAGGCAAACTTAAGAAATGTTTCTTTTATAAAATCAAAGGTGATAGATATGGGAATAAAATAGCAGTACAGTAATCCATAATGTATGCATTGGATTACTGGGTTATTGGTTAGCCATTTGTCAGTTTCAAGCACATAAAACTTAAAGAGATAAAAGCTAATAGTGTCAGCCCCTCCTATAAAACTGTCCTAAGCATAGGTAGACAAACAGACAAACAAAGCAGAAGGCAACTGGAGGTTAGCAGAAAGGGTCAGGGGGAATCTCTCCCTCTTAATTATATTTAACCATAAAAATTAGGAAGAGATTCTCAAACATCAACAGAATTCCTAGCTCTGCAACCCAGTAATGAAGCAGTAGCTGCAATCAGAAGGGAGAGTAGTGATGCTGGTTTTAAAAGACTGATTAACGTCACCCAAGAAGGTTAGTGAGCATTATTGAGTTAAAGAGATTGGCTACTGTAGAAAACTGAGTTGGTGAAATAAAGAACAAATTCAAGAATTTCACCTATAATTCAGAAGGACAAAAAGCTAGAGAAGTCAGTAGGTCTGTTCTTGGTCTTCTGTGGGTCAGTCGATGGCCTTGGCTTTCCTTTTCCTTCTTCACACTGCACTTCCGCTTCCTCTTACTCTCCTTTCCTGCTGTACCATGTGATGCTATTCACAGCCTTCCTAATGGGCTGGCACCTTGGGCACATAGGAGAGCCTCCAAGAAAGCTCACCAATAGTTTAATGTAATAGGCCATTGAATTTCCAAACCTACCTCCCAGCAAAATTCTTCACAGATCTCAAAAGAACAGTACTAAACTTCATATGGAAAAGCAAAAATTTGTTTATTTCTATAGAGATGTCCCATTTTACTCATTGTCTTTGGAACCAGACCTCTTCCTCACTAGGCACCTCTAACTCAAGCTGTCATTAGGATCTTCTTCAGTGTCTTGTCCTCAAAGGAAACCCAAAAGGAAGCTATTTGCAGCAAACCACCTGAGGTGAGAATGGTCCAGGCTGGGTCAGTGCTTTCTCACTAGAAGCATTTGGAAGCCTGTGACTGAGAACCAAGACTTCTGTTACAGCTCCCGAGATGCTCCTTCTGAAGGAACTGGTACTTCCAACTAGTAATAGAGTCTTGAGACAGTCTTCACCAGAGACCTCCTCAGCTCCCACGACTCCTTCCTTTGTTCCCTGAAACCAGCCTTTAGTCTTATCCCGTTTCACTGTAAAAATGCCTACCTTCTCAACATACCTACAGCCGTCTGCCCCTCAGAATCAAAAGAAGCAAAATTGTAAGCTTTCATGGTCAGGATGTTGAAGACTTATGGAGAGTCTGGAGTGTCCAGCCATGTTATAAAGACAGGACTTTCTCTTTGCCTCCACTATTGGAAATACATTTTGAGGAAAAGGGGGTTGATGTTAGGAAACTGAGGAGAACATTAAAACAGCCAAGAAACTTCTAGAAGAGAATATACAATTCATTTTTATACCATATTATTTTTAAGAAGATGGTACCATTTTGGAAAAGAATGGTGGACAGCAAGAATAATATTGTATAATAGAATGCCACTGATATACTGGAAGAGCTTTATAATAAGAAATAAAAGAAACTTAAATAAATTAAAATATTTTAAGACCATTCACATAACAAAGCTATTTTTGTGAGAGCTAAAGAGTGCCGTTTGTTTTGTCCACCATTTTAGGATGGTAAATGAACAGCTGCAGCAGTCACTTGATGACTGTCAGCATCGACTTTCCATAAAAAGAGGTGAACTTGAATCCGCCCAAGAAGAAGTTAAAGTTCTGGAGGAAAAACTAGGTGAGCCTTCTGAAATTTTGCTTTTGCTAAGCTTAATTGCCTCTGTCTAACAAACATTCCTCTTTCTGTGTAGAAAAACTAAGCTGTAAGATGGCATCCCAGAGCGAAGAAGCTCACGCCTTGAAGAAGACCATTGGCGTGATTGACAAAGAGAAGGACTTTCTCCAGGAGACTGTGGATGAGAAGACAGAGAAGATCGCCAGCCTGCAAGAGAGCCTCATCAGCAAAGTATGTATCTGCCGCATGTTCCCTGGCGTCTCAGCGGGAGCCCACAGGCAATTCCTGAGGCCCATGCTGTTTTTGACAAGTCTAAATTTCCTTCTAGCCTAGTAATAGGAATCTTTAAGATAGGATTTATCAATTCCGAGAATGTGATTTTTATCTCATTTAAGCACACTTTGAAGAAACCGCTGCAGTTTGTAGATGGGTAGAAACATACCAAGATGTGACATACACATGGATATAGAACTATTTTACTTAGAGCTTGCATTTATGTATGGTTTATATAATTGAACTGTATAGTTAGCTACTTACTATCTAAATGTAGTGGGTTATGCAAATTTAGCTAAGAATGATTGTGTGTGAATGATTTAGAATCCATGTTTCTGTAATTTCTTCAGGAGAAAGCTATTGCCCAGGTGAAGGTCACAGTCGTAGAGTATGAAACATCTTTGAAGTAAGTAGTCAATGAAGGGTGGTCCATGTTCGAGAAATTCTCAGTGAGTGAGGTCTTACTGAGTTAGCAGTCTGGTGACAGGAGACTGTCTCCTGTGAAGTTCCCAGATTTGCCACTGGCATCCTTGCTTTCTCAGCCCCCTGCTCTGACTTGCTCTCTGCCTCTGTTGTTTCCTAGTGCCTGTGCTTTTATCTGCCTGCTCTTTGTGCTTATGTAGTCATCTGTGAAAGTCCTGCCCATCTCATCGTGGATTGTGTTCATAGCCAGTTTCCCCATTTGTTCTTCAATTAAACCTATCCTGAGCACTCTCAAAAGCTTACATTTTGTGTCTGGTCTAAAACCAAAAGTCACTAATTATATTTATTTTACCTACCTTTATGTCTTGTATAATAATGGAAATATAAACATCATATTATAATATATTTAATATAAAAATTAAATATTTAATGATGTTTTATATTTTAGTCCTAACAGTTGAAAATGTTATGTTTGCTTAACTTGTAAAATAAGAATATGTATTTTGAGGCTTTATTTGCATCTATTTGATAGGAATCTAAAGTCCCTGAGTATTTTTAATGAGCGTCAGAGGCAGCAGCTGTACTCTTGTGTACTCACGCACTTATTGAGAATGTTCTGGTCTTATTTGAAGTAAGCTAGAGTTTGTCATAATGCTTTATTACTGCCACACCACGTTTTGACAGCCAGCTAAAGGACACCTTGGCTAATCGAGACCGAGAGATAAACAGCCTCCGACGGCAGCTCGATGCAGCTCACACAGAGCTGGAGGACGTTGGGAAATCTAGGGAGATCTCTTTTAAGGAAAACAGAAGGTTACAAGATGACCTGGCCACGATGGCAAGGGAAAACCAGGTATGACACCAGGCAGAGATTTTTCATGGAACTTAATATTTGCTAAGTATTAAACTTCTAAATATTTTCTCCTAAAATGCAATGGTATTGAATGGAAGCCGTGTAAGTCCTTGAGGGGAGCAGTGGCTGTCTGAGTGGTAGTTAGCAAGTACAATTTTGTTAACGTGTCCCCAGACCTAATAGCATTTGGTTTTTGTTTCTGAGTAGCATGGCCTTCTCTGTGACAGAAGTTATTGTCATAGCATTGGGTGGGAACAGCAGAATCACTCTTAGGGCAACTTCTCTCTTTTTACAACGGACCCGTGACAGGTTTTTGTTTGCACTTACTTCTGTTGTCTTAGAGCTATATCTGTAAGTAAATGAAAGAATATTTTTAATGGCAGATATTGTAAGGTAGTTTTTTTTATATAATCGTTTATTACATCATTATGCTCTTAAGACCAATGGTTTCTTTTTTGAAGATGTGTTTATTATGTATACAGTATTCTACCTGCATATATTCCTACAGGCTGAACAGGATATCAGATCTCATTACAGATGGTTGTGAGCCACCAGGTGGGTGCTAGAAATGGAACTCAGGACCTCTGGAAGGGCAGCCAGTACTTTTAATCTCTGAGCCATCTCTCCAGCCCCCCCCCCCCCCCATGGTTTCTTTTATGTTTAGAAAATTACTTTTATTCTATGTCGAGTCTGGAAAAAAAAAAGAAAATTACTTTTAGTATTCAGTATCAATTATATTATAAATATGTCAACTTTTTAATGTCAACTACTAACTATAACTGGCCATGATATAAAATCAAATACATGATCAGGACTGTCATGGCAGTTTTGTGGAAAAGTTTACTGAAAAATCCAGGTCAGGGAGGGGGAGAAGACTAGTGACTAAGAGTGCTGGCTGTGAAATGAAGGTAAGAGGTTCAGAGGTCAAATCTCCTGTACTCACATAAAAGCCTGGCATGGCTGCCTGTCACCCCAGAGTTGGAGGTCATAGACATCAGATCTCAGGAGCTTGTTGGCCAGTCTCGCTGAAATGGGGAACTTCACTTCCAATGAAGGGCCTACTCGGGAGGATATGGGAAGAGTGGTGACGAAGGGAACCTGGCATCCTCCTTTGCTCTCCACCTGTGCACATGAGTTTGTTCACCCGTACACCAATGCACACACCACACACATGCACACACACATGCACCAAGGTCAGTCACAGAAATACACGAAAATAACAGTAGAAGTTTTCCCCTTGTTTCTTCAATTCCAAAGAATGTGTTTGATGTGACTAGAGCTAACATTGACTCTTTCTGCTTGGCCAACTCACAGGAAATCTCAATAGAATTAGAAACAGCAGTACAAGAGAAGGAAGAGATGAAGAGCAGAGTTCATAAGTACATCACGGAGGTGTCACGATGGGAGAGCCTCATGGCTGCGAAGGTGAATAACAGTGTTTGGCTTGCATTTAAGACTGGCTTTCTAAGAGCTCTCTTTGCCTTTAATTCTGTCTCCAGTATTATGTATTGGACATTTGAGATTCGATATTACATATTAGACATTTGAGAGTAGAGGTCTTTTCTACTGACTTTATATTTCCCCATGGATCTTAGTATAGTGCCTGTACACATACTGATGCTTCCTAAATTCAAGCAGTCCCGTGTGTGTGTGTGTGTGTGTGTGTGTGTGTGTTTGTCTGTGTGTCTGTGATATAGATATCCTATTGACAATACTGACTTAGAAATAAAGTAATTGTTTTTAAACCAGGAAAATGAAAACAAAGACTTGCTAGACAGATTCCAGATGCTTCACAACCGTGCTGAGGACTGGGAGATCAAAGCCCAACAAGCTGAAGGGGAGAGCAGCTCAGTCCGCCTGGAGCTGCTGTCCATTGACACAGAAAGAAGGCACCTGCGAGAGCGAGTGGAGCTCCTCGAGAAGGAAATCCAGGAGGTAAGGTGCCGCTGTCTAGTGATGAGACCACTCAGTAAGTGACACACTCAGAGACACTGCACCAGTGAGGCTGTGGTCACTGCTGAGCTCCAGCTCAAAGCTAACCCTCTGCTACTGACGCTCCTAACTTGCTTGAGTGCCCGCTCCTAACTTGCTTGAGTGCCCGTTCCCTTTGTCATTATAGTAAAGATGTGGCTCTCTTAGGTAGGGTTTCTATTGCTGTGAAGAGACACCATGACCACGGCCACTCTTACATAAAAAAGCATTTAATTGAGGCTCTTACACTTTCAGAGGCTTTGTCCATTATCATCATGGTGGAACATGGCAACATGTGGGCAGACATGGTGCTGGAGAAGGAGCTGAGAGTTCTACATCTTGATTTATAGGCAGCAGGAAGTGAACTTTGTCACTGGGTGTAGCTTGAGCATAGGACACCTCAAAGCCCACCCCCACAGTGACACACTTCCTCCAACAAGGCCACACCTCCTAATAGTGTCACTCCCTATGAGCGTATGGGTACCAGTTACATTTAGACTACCACAGTGGGCGACATGAGATTTGCCTTTTATCTCCTCTCAAGTGTGAGATCCTACAACATTAGTGTAACACTGCACTAATCTCCACCCTGTTGTGCAAATACTTCCATCCTCCCAGGCTCACTTCATCTCAGAACTTATCTCCCTTGAATCATGTTTTGTCCTTTTCTGAAGCTGAATAATAGGCATTAAAATGTGGCTTAGCCATTCACCTTCTGGTGAAGTTATTTCCACATTTTGGATCCTGACAGCCCCGTCACTGTTGACATGATGTGCTAGTTACTGGCCCGGTTGCTGTGATAAAATGACTAGCAAAGGGCTAGAGAGATGGGTCAGGAGGAAGAGCAGCATCCCTGACCCAGCATTTAGACATAAATAAGCTTTCATTATAATGACAGTTGAGTAAAAATTTTATTAATACACTTTGGAAGTCAGTTAAATTAATAAGAAATCTTACTTTGATGTAAATATATTGCCGATTTTTTCTTAGTATAATTTTCTTATTTACATCTTTCAGAAGAAAGTAACAACTCTGTAGTGCACAGAGTTAGAACCTCCAAAATATATATGTATTTAGGTCCTAAACCTTAGTCTCTTATTTTGTAGTAGTGTCTTTGTATATATAACCAAGTAAATGAGGCCAAGTCTAAGACCCTTACAAAACAATGCCTTTTTAGACAAAGACATGGGGACAGCCACCATGCACAGACCAGGGTGGGATTGTTGCTAGGATCACAGCTGGCAACTTCAAGAACCAAGGATGCAGGCATGGGATGGTTTTGTTTCAGACTCTCCAGAGGGAACCAACTTTACTGTCAGTTGACATTTGCATTTATAGCCCCTGGAGCTATGAAGAGGACATTTCTGTTTAAAGCCACTAGAGTTGAGGCTACAGCCACAGGACACTCACATAGATTTGGGATCAAGAAGAGAGTCACTGCGGTAACAGACATTGGAAATGTGGAAGTCTTAAAATCGGGTAATTGGGCAACAGAAACTGGGTAGGCTTTGAGTATGTGCTGAGAGAAGCCTAGATTGTCTTGAAGAGATCATTTCTAGAAGTTTCGATACTATGGGCTTCATAAAGAGAAAATTAACCTGGGGGACTAGTTCAATTGGTAGAATGCCTGCCTAGCATGCATGAAGCCCTGACTATGAGCCCCACATACATGTAAGGTAGGTGTGGTGGCTGGAAGAAGTTCAAGATCATCATTAATTTAGTAGATTCTAGGCCAGTTTGAGCTACAGGAGACACTGTCTCTAAATAAATAAACTTTAAAAAGAGGAGATATTCTTTAGGTGCAGAATACATGTATTATTATATATGGAATATTTCTTCTAGCAAGGTCTCAAATAGAATTGAAGAACATATTACTGGACACTGGGAAAAGGGTGAACTTGTTATGAAGAACATGGCAGAATTAGAACATGGAAGAGATGAACTTTGACATTTAACTGAGATGCCCACGCAGTGTGGGAAGGAAGCCTCATTATGAGAGAGGGTGCAGAAGGAACCAGAACTTAATGGCCTTCAGAAGTATTTCAGCATGCCCATCCACACAATACCTGCAGGCAGCCTGGCAGTGTGACTGGGTAACTCAGGATGGCAGCCACGGGTCCAGCCAGCCATCTCAGCAGAGACTGCCAGCTACGATCAGGAGGGACAGACATGAAGCGAAGGAAAGAAAAGCTGTTGGGCCCCTAGCATCTTCCTAGGTGAAGATGGGACACTGGTTTCTTGTCTTCTGGTGACTAGTCACCTTTAAGAAAGGGAGAATGACTCTAAGAGTGTCTCAGAAGCCACAGTGGTGCTCCCAAGGGCAGCTCAGAGGCTGGCGGGTCTTCACTGCTACCAGAAGCCAGAGGACATGGAATCTAGGATTGCAGGTACAGGAAGTGCCAGTGTCCCTGAGGATTAAGAAAGAGACCATGCTGGGAGGCCCAGGGGACAATGCATTAGTGTCACAGATAATTACTCTTAAGACTTGAAATCGAATAGAAGTTGCCCTGCTTGATTGCAAGCTTACCTGGGACTAGGGTTATGTTTTGCATCTCATTCATCTCCTAAAGACCTGTGGGCTAAAGACTTGGTCACAGGGGTTGGAGGCTCACAAGGAGTTAGCTCATTACAAGGAGTTAGATGTACAAGGGTACATCTCTGAGGGGATGGTGGGACCTTAGTCCTTCCTTAGCTCCCTCTTGCTTTTCTTGATGCAGTGGGGTGAGTGGACTCCTTGGCCACGCATTTATGTCATGATACACTTACTGCCTCACTGCAACCCGGAAGTGGTGTGGCCAAGTGATCATGGGCTGAAATCTCTGAAACTGAGGCCTAAACAGAATTGTCCTTCCAAATGCTTCTTCAGAATTTCTCGCAGTGTTGAAAGCTGACTGACAGAACCGCTAGCCACCGTATTCCTCCTCCTCCTCCTGTAGAAAGAGCCATCTGCGCTGTGTCCAACACTCCAACCTGTTTTCTAGGGTTAGAGCTCGGCAGATAGAGGAAAATGTTACCCACAGCGCACCGGAGTCATATTCGTATCTCATCTAGATGATGCCTAAGGATATGACAGTTTATGCTGTTATTGTGGATGCAGGGCCAGCGAGTTGGTGCACTGGGTAAAGGGACTTGCCACAAAGCCAGATCCCACATAATGGGAAGACACCACTTCCCATTATGCAAGTGCTGCAAGGTGTTCTTTGATCTCCACACAAACGCCTCTACCCCACAGTAAACACATTCAAAATATTAAACCTAGTCAATTCAAGAATTTTAGATACCATGCAGGTGTTTCATGCTTGAGAAGGACCTATACTTAGGGCTTCAGAATAGGTGGAACCGTGACTGCTGAAAAATTACTTTGAATGCCTAAGTGTTTGCAAATGTGACCTTGTTGAAGTAGTGTCTTTGCAGATGTGGTTAAGATTAGAAGATGCTGGCTAAGGTAGAGCATGATCCAGTGGACATCCACGTCTCTCTAAGATGAGGGAAATTTGGGACATGGGAGAGCACTGTGAAATTGGAGGCAGAGATATCTACAAGGCAAACACCAAAGAAAGTTAGGAGAGAGACACTCAGCCGTCTGCTTGAGAGTCTCTAGAAAGAGCTAGTTCTGATAACTTAGCCTCTGGATTTGCAGGGCTAGAGAAATGGCTCAGTAGTTAAGAGCTCTGGCTACCCTTTCAGAGAACTTGGGTTTGATGCCCCCTGACTCACAACAGTAGGTAACTCCAGTTTCAAGGGGATCTGAAGCCCTCTGCTGGCCTCTGTGGGCACTGCATGCACATGGTGCATAGAGTTGCAAGCAAAATACCCATAACATGTAAAGTTTATTTATTTATTTTTAAAAAAAGTCTCTTAAAACAAATAATGGTTTGCAGCCTCCAGATCCGAAGGGGAAGGATGGTATTCAGTGTTTTTAGTGACTTTCCTCTGCTGTGATAAATACCATGACCAAAAGGAACTTAAGGAAGAAAGTTTATTTTGGTTTCCAGATGCAGAGGAAAATCCATAACGGGTGGAGGGAGGCATGACAGCAGGAGGCCAGAGCAGGAAGCTGAGTTCACACCTTCAGCCACACACAGAAAACATGAGCAGGGAGTGGGCAAGACCATGACCTCTGAACGCCCATCCCCAGTGACCTACTTTCTCTAGCAAGTCTCATTGTCCCAAAATTTTCATAGCTCACCAAGAGCACCACCAACTGGGGACCAGGTTCAACTGTATGAGCCTATGGGGGACTACCAAGTCAAACCAGCACACCCAGTTGGCAGCAGTCCGGAATAACAGGCCCCAAACTATAGGATGACTACATATTCTTTACTAAAGATGCTTCTCTGCTTGTAAGAGTTTCTCAGGAATATTCCTTCATTCTTTATTCTTTATTATTGCTAATATTCTTACGTGATATAAAAAAACGGGTTCTTAGAGGGTTTTGTTTTGTTATTTTGTTTGTTTTTATAGTGCTGAGGTTGGACCTCTGGGGTTCTGCATGCTAGGAAAGTGTCCTGCCTGGGAGCTGCACTGCTGGCCTGCTTCCTGTGCTTACGTCTCCTTTGTTTGGGGAACTGCTGTTTGCCCAGTCTACTAATATGGAAACGTCAAATGGTTACCTTTCTGTAGCTATGATGTCTAATAATCTTCATTGCATAATATTGGTTTTTAATTGGTTGATTTCTGTGAACTCTGCTAACATCATTTTGCTTTTTAAGAATGGCTGCTTTCCTGAAACACCAAAGTGGAGCTTATATAAATTCATAATTATTGCATAAAATTAAAGGATAAAAATTTTAAAGTTTGGGTTATTTTAGGAAAGTCTTTTATCAGTATTTCAGTTTTTGTTCATTATTCCAAAATTACTAAAATCTTATAAAGTGGCCAATGAAATGAGACTAAATTTCAGGTATTTAGTATTAAAATAAACCCTAGTTTTAAAATTTAGAATTTAAAAGAATGAATTGGAATTATATATAAATACATTTATTTAAAATGTGTTACTATTTGATAAGAAAATGCTATTATAACAAGGGCTATTTATGAAGAAAAAATTCTTTAAAACAGTCATATTATTTTAGCATAATTTTCATCTTTATATCTTCTAAATGTATATGAGTTATTTAGTTATTATAATTAATAATTATATGCTGTTCCTTTTGAGAATAACTAGGCTTTCTTAAAATAGCACATACTTCCTGAGAATGTTTTAGCATACGCAAGAATTAGCACTTGTTTTTCTGGAGGAAGTTTGCGGCTACACAGGCTCCTGAGGCTGTCTTTGCAGGCTTGCACTTCAAGTGACTGGATTATATTACTTTTATGTTTTGCTTTCTTTCCTCAGCACATCAATGCACATCACGCTTACGAGTCTCAGATCTCATCAATGGCCAAAGCCATGTCTCGGTTAGAAGAAGAGCTGCGACTTCTTGAAAGCGAGAAAGCAACAGTGCTAAGTGACATGTCATCTCTCCGAGAACTTTGCATTAAGCTCGATTCTGGCAAGGACCTCATGACCCAGCAGCTGAATTCCAAAAGCCTTGAGCTGGAGAGGGTAGGTGCTGGGAGAGATTGTTGGGCACCTTGCTTTGTGGAGCCCTCAGGCATGGTTTTTCTTTACGTTCCTTTTTCATGGAGTTGTTCTCTGTTCATTTTGACAGCAAGATAACTGGATTTGGCTATGGATTCTCTGCCAAGACTGTCTGTCTGTCAAGCACAAGGATAAGCTGGGGTGTAGTTCAGTGGTGGAGTCCTCGCCTCCGTGCGTGATGCTCTGGGTTTTGTCCCAGTGCTAAAAGGATAAAATTGGGTTTTCAATAGATGGTCCTTAAGAAATTTAGGCATTTTCTTAACTGTAGATCCGGAACAAATATTCTTTTTCTGTTTAGAAGTAAAATTTGATTGAAAGATCAAACAGTTCATTTTTTCTAAGAATTTTTATGATAAAAAAATCTCAAGGCGTTTAAATTATTAACTAACTAAATCCTGGACTTCCCCATCCCAAGTTGAGGCATAACTTTGAACAAGCTGATGTGTGCTCTCACAGAGGTATATCTGTAGGGTTCACTTGCCAGGCCACAACTGAGAAGTTACAGTACTGGCTTGAATGTGTAGTCAAAGAGCACGCGTACTGCGTAGACTGGAGCAGCTCACTAACTGGTGCATGGGGGTGGTCCTCATTGGAGGGGGAAGTATGCCTTAAAGCCCAATAAGCCCTGAGTAAAAGTAGCAAAGGTAACTTTAAAATTGTTAGGCTCTTCTGATGACTTAGGAAACGTTTGGAAGTCTTCAACCAGTACTCAAAAATGAAACAATTGCTGTCAATCACTATTATATTGAAAGATAAATAATTTTCAGACTAAGCCTAAATTTTTACTAAATTTATCTTTGTTTTTCCTGTAGGCAATAGCAGAATTAGAAAATGTAAAATCCGAATCAGAACTGTTGAAAAAACAACTGACAAGTGAGAGACAGACAATTAAAAATCTGGAGTCGTTGTTAGCTACAAACAGAGATAAAGAATTTCATTCCCATTTAACCTCGCATGAGAAGGACACAGAAATCCAGCTGCTGAAGGAGAAGCTTAACCTCTCCGAGAGCAAACTGTAAGTGTCCTGGTGAAGGGCTAATCTACCTAATCTTATCAATAAAAATCAGGAGTCAGATAGCAGACTGGAAGATCAGAGAAACAGGGGAGCAGCCACAGTCTCTTCCTCCCTCCTCAAAACCTATGTCCAAAAGATCCTCTCTCAGGCCCGCCTTACCACTTCCTGTCTCCTCTTTCTACAGTCGTCCAAACCTCTGTGGTCAGGTAGTGGCTAGCTCTGCCCTCTGGCTCCAAGCAAGCTTTATTTGTCAGAACACAGGCATCACACAGCATCCTGGAGCAACCTGTGTGGGGAAGTGTTGACCACAAGTTCCTTTTCACCTCTTGTACAGCAAGGGCACTGTGGGAAAGTGATACAAATCACTGTAGCTGACTTTCTTGTCTGATATTTCCGGACATCCAGAGGAATAGCTCAGGAGACGAGTTTGAGACTGTAGATGTGTACGTCTTGTCTCCAAGGTGGTGCCATGGGAGAGGGAGGGGAGGAGTGAGCTTCAGGAAGAACCTGAGTTTGATGAGTGAGTGAAGGCGTCGGTGGGGGAAAGCTTGTCAGGGTGAGAGATGGGAAAGGTCTTCACGAGTGTGCCCGTCTCCCTTGAGGAGACTGGAGATGATGTGGTCCTAGAAGAGAAAAGCCTGGGGTAGAGAGCACGGAGAAGAATGGGCCTTTTGCAGGGACTTGGGGAGTTGAAAACAATGTTCTTCCTGAGGCAAGAGGCAAGGAAGAACCACAGAAGGTATTTTACATCCTGTTTCTAGTTCCCAGGTCTGCTGCGCATGCAGCACATGCTACCAGCTCTGTAGCTGGCAGTAAACCTGCAGAGTACAGAAGAAGCCCTGAATCCGAGAGGGCCACGTTGGAAAGCCAGAGTCCTTGTCTATTCTTAGCATCGCCTCCATTTGTATTTGCACTTGATTCTACAAGACGTGTCATTGATTTCTCATTGCTGAGGTCTTTGCATTTGTCTTTAAGAACTACCCAGAGCCGAGAAACCGCTATGCTTCGAGCTAAAGTGACACAGTTGCAGGCCGATTATGATGCTCTGAAAAGGCAGATTTCAAATGAGAGATATGAACGGTAAGACGTTTCTTTTTGACATTAAACAATATTCCTGCATATCTTCTAGCCTATTCAAAGAGTAATGTGACTTGCAAATAGCAAATTTCTTTAGTATTAATACATAAGATAAATTTCTTAGCGAATTCTCTCATAGAGTAAAAGATTCTGTAAGAGACAGAATCCCTGCAGTAATGAAAAGAGCGCTGCTATAGACATGCTTCTTGGAGCATTCTGCAGGTGACAGTCAAGTCTAGATGGTGACATAACCAAGGTCCCTGCAAGAGCCCCCCAGATACAGTGCTTTTGGAAGCATATTATCATGAGATGATGATGATGGTGTCATAAGTGCAGTAGCAGTTATGAGCTGGGCACTCAACACGTGTCTGATTATCCCAGTATCTGCCAATATGATCACACTTGTACGTGACAGAGCCATGGTTTAAGTACAAACATATCTGTTCAGTCCAAAGCCCTTAACCTCTGTAACGTATTCCCTGCTCCCTAATTATTTTCATGCTCGTAGTTCAGTTCATTTACTTCATGCTAAAACATTGAGTCCCTAAATATTACAGATATGAGACCTGCTTTAGCAGGGAAACCACGCCAGATGTAGTGCTTGCACCTGTGTCCCAGCATTCAGGAGGCTGAGGCAGAGGGATCATGAGCTTAAGAGCCACCCTGGGAGACCAGTGTCCAAAAAGAAATGAATTATAATCAAAGTCTAATTTGAAAGTCAACAGCCAAGTTATATTTTTCTGTTGCTCTTTCTTAGACACCCGAGGTTTGTTCTCAAGTCGACTAAAACTGCCTATTAGATCATTTTAAAAATTTTATCTTTCCCATTTGCATCCAAACCTGAGTGATACATTGTATTAAGTCTACAGGGGATCCGCTGTGATGTCAGTAGTTGTTGCTTTAGATAGAAGTAGGCTTGATTGCCATGGTGGTGTGAAAACTGGTGATTTGTTTGAACTTGGAAGGTAGAGTGCGAGACTGTATGTAATAAATAGTGTTTCCTTCTTTAGTGATGGCTGCACTTTTCGGTAACCTCAGTCATGCTCTCTATGGCCTCAGAGAATCCTTGGGCCTCAAAAACATATCCTCCCTACTCTTTACTGTCAGACGAAGTGGCACATTCTCATGGGCCCTGTCACCCCACCCTCAAGACAAAACCTGATTCTTGTGGGTGGGAAGAAGCAGGAAAATAATCTGGTTGTTCCACACTTAATCCCTCAGAGGCCGCAGTACACTAGCAGGGTCCTGTGTGTTTGTTTACATTTCTTGGAGTGAGGGAGAAATTTGAGAGGAAAAAGCCTTCTATAAGTTTTTCTGACAGGGTAATATTGAGGAAAGAAAGGGTTTGAGGAACCTCTCTAGGAAGGAAAGATGTACTGAGTAGCTCAAGAAAAGGCCCAGGCAGAGACTGTGGAGCTATAGAGTAGACAGTGGGCACTGGCAGACTCCAGACACCAGGAAAGAATGTGACAGGGAAAGTGGGCTCTTTTATCTCAGACGTTTGGGAGATTTGTGCACAGAGAAGGCTAGAGTTCCATGCAAAGAATGCAAAGAGAGATAAGAAAAGAAGGAGCAGAGGAAGGAAGCATCCAACATGGAAGCACTGTACTGAGCCTTCAGTGACAAGTTAGTGACATACAAGTGATACGTGGTTGCTCCATACACAGACTTTTAAATGCTTTAAGTTGATACATGCACACACACGAGAATGAATGTAAATAGCATGTGCCAGGCATGACAGGGCACACCTGTAATCCTCGGACTCAGTAGGCTGAGGCAGGAGGATTGTGAGCCTGAGGCCAGCCTCCTCTACATAGCAAAAGACTATCTCAAGAAGCCGATAAGAAGTCTGTAAGGGCAGGGGTAGAATTTTATTTACTTTTGGGGGGATGAATTCCCCCTCAGCTGGAATCACTAAAGACTGGTAACCAGGCCCTGGAGACCAGCACGGATGTGAGAACAGGCAGATGCAGAGCATCCGATAAAGAACTAAGACATGGCAGTGCGGGCAGAAGGGGAGCCAGGAAAGGACGAGGCGTGAAACTGAGGTGCTCAACTGTGCTGGATGCCATAAACGGCGTAAAGGCAAGGAAGCTGCCTGTCAACAGAACACTTGAGAAATAAATTCTTAAATGTATTTTAAAACATAAAGAAAAAAGTAAGCTCTTCCAGAATCACTATTAATATCTTTCATTTAACATGTAGTTGTATATTGGTTTTTGTTTTTGTTTGCTTTGGTTTCGTTTTTTGAGACAAGGTCTCTCTCCCTCGGCCTCTGCCTCCCAAGTGCTGGCATTACCGACATGTGCCACCCTGGCCGGCTTGTGCGGATTTGTATGTTTCTGAATATATACTTGATATCCTACTTTTTTTAGTATATATATTGTGATCGTTTCTAATATATTATTTTGTTGATGCCCTAATGTTATGACTTGGCTGTAGCATAATTTTGCTTTGAACAATTTCTTCTAATCTTTTAAATGAAATATTTTACATATTACTGAAAAAATAAACTACAAATTGGGACTGGAAGGACGGTCCAGTCATTAAGAGCCCTGGCTGCTTGCCCAGAGGACCCAGTACCTACATAGTGACTCGGCCATTTTCTCTTCTCCACAGGCACCAGGCTTGTGTGTTGTGCATTGACATGAACGCAGGCAGGCAAACGCCCATGCATATGAATAAAAATTCTGCAGATTTGGTAAAAGTATATAAGGCTAAGCCAGGCATCCTATCCACTTGCAGTCCCAGCTTCTTTGAGGGACTAAGGTGGGAGAATCAATTGAGCCCCTGGGTCTAGGATAGCTTGGGTAACATAACATAGTAAGGTTTCATTTCAAAGACAAAACAAACTAACCCAAAATGAAGCTGGTAGAAATGCTAATTATATTGGTAGATGTTACCTAATTGATCAATAACCCCAATAGCCACTTTTTGGTTTTGCATGGTGCTTACATAGAATCTCTTCTGTGATCTTCACCAACAGAGAGCGAGCAATCCAGGAGATGCGCCGGCATGGTCTTCCTACGTCACCTCTGAGTTCTACTCTGAAATCTCCTATACAGTCTCCTGAGCATGTAAATGCATAGTTATCAGAGAGCTATGTATCGGATTCTAAGGACAGGTAAAGCTAATCTGTAGTTGTAAAAAATTTGGAATTGTCGTTCCTGTCAGAGAAAGAGATGGCTTAGAGAGGGGGACTACCTGGAGTAACGGAAATGTTCATGTGTTGGTGGCACAGCAGCTGAGGATGTGATCCATGCGTTTCACTGCGTGTCACTTGTACCCAGCTGAAAAGGGAAGGGTTAGGAATGTGGCATGCAGCAACCTTGGGTTCATTCTTAGCCCCGCAGAGGAGTTGTAGGGTTGGAATCAAAGCCACAGCGAAGTGCTAGATGACACAGGGTGACACAATCAAGTACCAAATTCCGTGTACAAATGACACCTGATGAAAGTGGGAAGAGCTTTGAGACAGCGGGTGAGGCACAGTGCGCTCCATTCGGCAGGAATGGGGGGCTGAGGGGGACAGTGTGGGAGAAAGGTTTGAAACGAAGGATGGGGCACACAAAGTCTGTGGAGGTGAGGTTACATGCGGATGTAGGCTCCACTCTAACTCAGAAGGGCCCCGAGTCTGTCTTGACTGTAGGTGGATACAGAGGAGTTGAGTGAAGACTTTTCTGTGGCTGCCCTGCCTCACTGCTGTGTCTGAGCCACACAGGAAGTGTAGGGACCAGACAGAGAAAGAGCAGTAAGAGTTTGAAACGGATCACAGAATGAGTTCAGAAAACTGTTCCCAGTTCTTAGGAGGTGGAAACAGGAAAGTCAGGAGTTCAAAGTCATCTACAGCTGCATAGTGAGTTTGGGGCCAACCTAGGCTACATGAGACCCTGCCTCAAGCAGACCATCAAGAAAAGGCGCTGTAGGAGGCTCACTGGGACAAAGAGAACGTGTTACCTCGCTTGGTTCCAGCCTCAAGCTCTGCTCTGAAAGCAGCCATCTTCAGTGGTAAAGCCTAGATTCTTTTTCATTTTCGGATTTTATCAGTGCATTTGTGCATGCCTGGACTCTTATTCTCAGTGGTGCATTGGTGAGATCCAGCCACTGATATGTGTGCTGCACAGTGGAGTGCCCTGATGTGCCCTTACCCCATTAGTTTACACTCGGCTTGATGGGCATTTGGTGGCTGCTAGGAAGAGCGCCCTGAGTATAGACTTAGGGCTGAAATTGCCGAGGTCACTCATGTCCAAGCTTCCACGGACGTGAGGATCTGGTCCCAGGTAGCTGATGTTAGATACCCTCGGCTGAGGCGGAGTTGAAGGGTTGGTCCTAATTCCTGGAGATAGCCTGAGGCAGACCCTGGCTTTGACAGATAACAACTGAAGAATGCAGACTCACTGACAGAAATGGCTGAGTCAGTTTCTTTAAAGTGTGCATTTCTTTGCCTATTTTAACACAAGTGCTGTGTGTAGAAGACAGTAAGCATTTCCTCAGAGGCTCAAAGTTCTCATACAAGCAGTGGTCACCCTGTGCTTTCACATCCTGAGGCCAGAGTTCAGGGTTCTGCTCTCATGGTGCCTGGTTGCTACTTTTTGCCTTAGTGTTTACATTCTTACAACATTGACTTTTCTCTTTCACCTCAAGTGTTTGCATCCCCACTGAACCTGGAGCTCACCATTTCAGTTAGATTGGGCTGGTCAGCGAGCCTCCAAAATCCGTCTTTTTTTTTTTTTTTTTTGCATTCCCCCAGCTCTGGGGTTGCTCAGGGTCTGGCTCGAGTGTGTGTGTGTGTGTGTGTGTGTGTGTGTGTGTGTGTGTGTGTGAGATCTGGGGATCTGAAGGCAGGCCTTCATCTTTCGTAGCAAGCAAGCCCCCTCTGCAGAGAGTGGTCCACATAGCTCCACTGTTGGTACTCTCAGCCCTGCTCTAGGCTCTGGCTCTCCACACCCTCACCACACTCTTTCCATTTCCAGAGTTACAACCCTCCTGGTCTACGTGCGTTAGAAAACCTTTCCTTTACAGCTGTTAACAGAGTCACAACTTTTAATTTTGTAGTAATTGGCAATTCTCAATGATCCAACTTGTTTATTAGCCAGTAATCCATTTTTGTAGATATTTCTGGGTAATGTCACTAAAGCTAATTTTAAAGGATTTCTCCAGTGAGCACTCAGAGACAAATTACACATGGAATCGTTTCTCAGATTAGTGTCTCTCTAGTAGTAAAAATATATAACCCAATTTTTGCTCTTACTTTCTTTTTATTAACACCACAGGAGATAGGAAAGCCCGTTTATCCTACTGCCACACACTCAACACAACCCTTCTGACAATTAATTCTCCATCACACAGCAAGTAGGTGTGCTATAATTTCATTCCTTTAAACTGCTCTGCCTGGAGACAGCGCTGGATCCCATTGGTCAGGGTCGGCCAGCAAGACTCCTCCCCTCACCAGGTGCCAAGTACAGCCCCAGGTGGATGTGCTTCTGACCTTCCTGCTCTTAAACCTAGGGTTCCACAGGTTTCCCTCGCAGGGTTGATGGAATTTGCCAGGGGCTCTGATTACCCAGTTACTATAAAAGATACCAATGAATGGCCAAACAAACACCAAGTGCAAGGCTTCCATTCCCTCCCAAGTACAACTTCAAGTGTCCAGCTCTCTGGACGGTCTCCAACCCTAGTACCCTTGGGCCTTTACAGAGACTTCAGTACCTGGCATAGCACACTGACACATCACTAGCATTGGTGACTAGGCCCTTAGCCTTCCTCCTCTACCCAGCATCACCTGCCTGGTGGGCAGCCCCTCCCCACCAGTCCTTGGCCATTGGTCTCCTCATCAGCATCTCAGAATCACTACTGCTCAGGTACCTCCTGGGAGCCCTGTGCCCGGTGTGTGGGGGTGGGGCAGAGACCAACTGTGCATTTCTTCTTTTGTCCCAGTGTCACCCAGGCCCCCGAGGACCCTGCGTCAGCAACCCCAAGTCATGCTCTTATTGCCTTTGTCTTCACGTAGACTGCTGCTCCCTAAACACCATGAGATTTGGGAAACAAGTTTTTATTAGAGACTGTAATTTGAAACACCATTGAATTAAGTTTTTCTTTAATATGTTGAGTAACTTTATCATTTTTTCTTCATTCACTTTCAGATAATGGTTTTCAGTGAGTTCCCACATGGATTTTTGTAAGAGCACAAGAGTAATGAAATATTTGAAGTACTTGTTCCTGCGAATCATGAACAGTGACACAGATTCTACCTCTGTCAACCTTTATTTAAATCAGTGGATATTTATGTAAAAATGTTTAGTTTAGAAGAGCCCTACATATATATTTTCATATATGTGAAAAACAAAATGTGTATTAATAATAGTGCTTAACTGATGTGATATGTGTATTTTTATTATTCACAACTAAAATTACTCCTTAAAATGTATTTATACTGTGAATTAATTTAATATACTCATATTATACTTTAATAATCTGTTTCTTATTGAGCCATAATATATGCATGTAAATATTCTTCCCTTATTTGGATGTGCTTGGTTTTCATACCTGTGTGTATAGCCTGTAGCATGATCAGCTAAGAGAATGGTCCATTTGATGCTTTTCTCTTAGGTAGCATCAGTCCACATTTGCTGTCTGTCATCCAGGGGAATATATTTAAATATAGTCTTAATAGCACAACTCTATTTTTTTAATAAAAGAAAGAGTTTATTTGAACTTACGGTTCCAGAGGAATAGAGTCCATCAGGGAAGTGTCAGGCAAAACGGGAGGAACAGGAAACTGGGTGATCACATCTTTACCACAGCACAAAGAAGAAAGTGAACAGGAAGTAGGGAGAAACTGTACTCTGAAAGCCCTTCCCCCAGGAACATACTTGCTCCGGTAAGTTTGTTCCTCCTAAGCCTCCCCAGAGTGTTGAAGTATCTCAGCCTATGGGTACATTTCTCATTCAAACCATCATGTTTTGTAAAGCCAAAAATTTAACTGCTAACATTTCTCTTTTTCCTGAGATGTTTTTATTATTTCTGAAGGTTCAGATTTACTGGAGATCAATAAGTTCAGCTACTTGCTCGAAAATCATTTATATTACCATCAACTTTGAAGAACATTACCCTGGATGTAGAATCCTAGTCTGTAGGACATTTCCTCCATCGTGCCTTTTAAAGAAATAACTTTGTTATGTACCTAGTGACCCCACTGGCAGAACTCTCGATAAAGTAATTATTGCCATGTGTAATTAATTATTCCAATCTGGAAGAACTATGGTGGAAAAAATACATTTATCTATGACAGACCTTATTATCTTGGCTCTTCACATGATACAATATTTTATTAGAATTAAGTTAAAATATATTCAAAGTTTTGTTAAATAATAAAATGGAAATTTGGGGGCATTTTTAACAAATTAAATTCCTCAACATACTAGTCTAAAATTTCAGAATATGAATGTATATAATGTAAATGTAGAAAAGTATTTTTGCTAAAAGTCCAATGTGTATCTGATAATACCTATATGTGGCCTGTAACCATGTGTAATGTAACCCAGTCTTTACGAATAGTATGTAAACACCATTCCTATGGCATATAAACTGAAAACAGCTCCTTAGAAATTCACTTTCAAGGTTGTCATTTTAAAGAATTTAGGTGTATGCAAACGTTAAGGAAAGAGCAGAAGTCCAAAATAGAGTGTAAGCTACAAATACTAATCGTGTTTCAACTGCTCACCTGTGAAGAAAATCCTTTTCAAACTAGATTTCATTATGACCGAGAAACAATGTCAGAGTCAGCATAGACAGGCAAGAGATCAACCACGAACAACATGTTTGTTTCTTCTTGGATCACTAAAGTGGGTTTTGTGTTCGTGTCCGAGGAGGCAGGTAGTGTTCTTGTGTAGCTAGTGCCTGGGCGTTCAGGACATGCCCCCGGCAATTGTTTACTTTGTGTTTGAGTGCAGGACAACTTACTCTCCACCACCTTTGGGGTTTTACCCATTCTGCCTCCTTTGAGTAAATTCATGTTTTATAGCGAAATGCCAAAGGGCGGGGCATGTGCAGTGTCGGTGGAAAATCTTTCAGTAAATACACATAAAAAAAATTTGTCCCCACCCTTTCCCCCAATTCAGCAGCAAGACACACTTCGTTAGTGTTCATTTTTAATGTTTTCTGTAATTATAAATGTGTCATTCTCATAATTGTTATTTTATAACCATCATGCTACAGGTTTTGAAAAAACGATTTTAATTTAAAGTACCGTCTTTTTTATAGATATTTATACTTTTGTTTTAAATAATTTTAAATCATGGAACTTGACTATAGATTTAGCAATAAACATACCTACCAATTTGCCTTCTCTTTCTTTCCAATATGTTTTATAATTTTGTGTTAGTAATATTCTTAATTCTGAAATTAAGTAGAATTTACTCAAATCGGACTTCATCATGATGGGGCTTGGGAAAATCCTGCAATTAGGTACCAGCCACCTTTTAAAATAACTCATTCATTTCCAGTTAATTCAAAATATAAGTTCCTATTAGGTACACTGTGAGAAAAATGCATTAAGGTGTGTTTATAGTTGCAGAGTCTCCTCACTGTAAATACTTTTTATGGGCAGTTGCCTTACTCTGTGACATCTTCCCACCTCATTGCAATTTATCACACACCCATACCTTCTCCCGCATTTAAAAGAGTCTGCCCATGGCTGTCGCTCTCCCGCTGGCGCTAGTTAGCATCAGCCTTTTTATGTCAGGGTCTTTGGGGTCTGCACATTGTAGTTACCTGAAGGTCTTCAAGGAAAACCTACACATGAACACACACTCGACAACAAATAACGAGAATTTCCACGATGGGGCACAGTCTTGCGCTTGACCGGGTTTGCAGGACTAAGCATGGACGACAGTGATTGGTCAGCCCCATAACAGTCACGCTCCTGTTGTATCTGTGGGCACATCATGCCTAGTGGAGTAAGACCACTGATGACAATCCTCCCTCAAGAGCCTGCGTAGACAGCACTTTCCACTGTAGCCTGTAGAATTTCGGCATGTTCTTTTCTCATTTCCATTTACTTCCGGGATGTTTTTCTCTTACCTTGTTGACTTTGTGCACGTCATTCCTCTTGCTGCTCACTTGTGGTGTTCTTCCATTGTAATCAGCTGTAATTTAAGGACATACTGTAATTTCCTGTATCTATGAAGATTTGCCTTGTGCCCTACTATATGATCTATTTTAGTGAAAGGTCCATGGCTTGATCAACCTGTTCCTGAAGCCTCAGTTTCCTGGACTAGTCAGTGATAGCGGTGGGGCCCAACCTGCTTTTGGAAGCAGCTCTACTTCCCTTCCTCCCGTCGGGAGCTGAGCTGCTGCAACTTGTTCTTACTTTACTGGCAAAAATACTCAGTGTGCTGAAAGGAGATCTGAAGAAGCAGATGAATTCAGTGCAGAAGCTGGAGAACAAAGTCTCCATATAATGTTAGATGGTAAAAGAGGAAGTGGGAGATTCAGCAGTGTAGACGATGTGGTTTGGATGTAATTGGCCCCCATTATCTCATAGGGAGTGGCACTATTCAGAGGTGGTGCTTTATTGGAGTAGGTACGACCTTGTTGGAGGAAGTGTGTCACTGAGGGAGTGGAATCAGCTCTCCTGTGCTCAAGCTCAGTGCGATTCACAGACCACTTCCTGTTGCCTTCTGGTGAAGATGTACCAGCACCATGTCTGCCCGCATTCCACATGCTTCCCACCATGATGATAATAGACCGAGCCTCTGAAACTAAGTGAGCCACCCCAATTCAGTGTTTTCCTTGTAAGAGTCTCTGTGGTTAGGGTGTCTCTTCACAGCACCTTGTTATTCTCAGCAATAGAAATCCGAATGAAGAAGTAAAAGCAACACAAAATAAAATTGTAGCAAATTAAAAATACAAGTATGAGTACATGTTTAGACCTCTGGGATACAGTGAAAAGACCAAACCTAGGAATCAGTGAGACTACAAGAAGGAGCTGAGTTAAACAATACAGGCTTGGAGAATCTGTTAGTGTCTAAAAATATAGAAGAAAACATAGAGGGAATAAACAGGAAGGTGTCCTGCTTGAAGCCTTAGCTAGGTCAGCAAGACAAACAGGACACAAATAGGAAGTGAAGTCAAATCCCTACTTCCAAACTAAATAATTCTATCCTTAGAAGCCCTGAAGACTCCAGAGAACCTAGTTCTGAGAACACTTTGAGCAAAGCAGCCGGGCACAGAACTAACATAGAGAGCCAGTGGCTTGCGGTCCTGCTTTTATTACTTGATGATATTCCTATCCTACTTTGAAGAGAGATGGGTGAGTGGGACCCATGAGTGCCCACCTGGCCAAGGTATCTGGAGGGATTAGAGGAAACTGAAAAGGTAACCTATGTAAAATATGTAAACAAATCACAAATATTCAACACCCCAAACCAAAATCAACCACCAATAAATAGGCTAGGGAATTGAATAGGTAGTTCGCCAAAGAGGAAGTATAAATAGCAACACACACTTGAAAACTGCTCAGCATCCTTGGCCATCAAGGAAATAGGAAGTTAGCACTGCCTTGAGACTCCAGCTTGCCCCAGTCAGCACAACTGCCAAGAAAACATAACAGTACTGGGGAGAAGGGGAAGAGACAACTCCTTACACACTGCTGGTGAGATGTTAGCTTGTACAGCTACGATGGACATCAGTGTGGAGCTTCTCAAAAACTAAAATAAGAACAGCTGTGCTCCTGGGCATATATACTTGAAGGACTCCTTGTCAGTTCGCCACAGAATGTACATCCACGCTTATCCAGTTATTGCATGACTGGCAATAGGCAGGATGTGGAACTAACCTAGACGTCCACCAGCAGATTAGCCAATAATGAAAGTGTCGTGCGTATATACAATGGCCATAAACAAAGATGACATCATATGTGAAAAGATTGGGTCGATCTTTTTTAAAAAGCATATTAAACAGAGTGAGACTCAAAGAATTACATGTTTTCTTTGTATCTACATTTAAAACGATATTTCTATATAAGTGTGTGTGTGTGTGTGTGTGCGTGTGTGACTGAGCTACGGTGGGACTCAGAGTTGGGAAAAGAAGAAGGAATAGAATGCATGTGACACAAAAGCAGAAAGAGAAATTATCGGGGTTTTAAGAAAGGCGGGGTGGTGCTAACACATGCCTTTATTTCTGGAATTCTGGAGGTAGAGGCAGGCAGATCTCTGAGTATGAGGTCAGTCTGGTCTATCGATGGAGTTCCAGGACACCCAGGGCTTCACAGAGAAAGAAACCCTGTCTCGAAACACCAAAACCAAAACAACAAAAATTATCCAAATAAAACCCCAGTTTAGTAAGTCGCCACAAACTAGGACCTCCAATATCAGTTTCTTTTAAGTCATGCTCGCTGCCAGCATGGAAATTATTGGTCCTGTTTTGGGCACTGGGACCTTTGATTCATTATGGAGCACATGTTAGGTTGGCTCTCTGCATCTTTTGTCACAGAAGAATTTTGCTTTGTTTGGTATTTAATAAGAAGACTAACTTAATTTTGGTGTCTTTGTATTCGTAGCAACAAAAGGCTTCCGTTGAAATAGCCAAACAATATGAAGTTAAGTCTTACTGTTTCCTATTAACTCACATCAGGAAAAGATGATTCTCCTTAAGGTATCAAAGTCAATATTTAATTTTATTATGAGTAGGGACAATGATGACCAATGTCTCTGTGTCCAGATGCTCTGAAACTCAACAATGCAATTTAGCTTTTCTATCTCTGGAGGGACATCTTTCCACTTGTACGACTCGGGAGTCCCAGATCCATTAGCACCGTGAGGCGCGAAACCCCTCAAAGGTCTAGGTCACGAGTTAGTGACTAGTTCATGCAAGTATCCTGGGCCTGACTTGGCGTCCCGATGGGGTGGTCACTGATGGTCTTGGCGTCTTGCCCCTTGCAAGGTGCACCTCGACCCTTGCCCTCAGTCCCCGGTCTGACCGTTCCCGCAGCGGAGAGGGTAATGGTACTTCCCGCACGGTGCCCTGGACTAACTCCTGGTTTCGGGTCGGTGCGGAACCTTCCGCAGCGCGCCATTCGAGCTCGGCGGGCTGCTCGGCGGGCTGCACGGCGGTCCCCGGGCGGGGCGGGCGCGGGTCCGAGCGGCCGAGGCGAGGCGCGGGCGGAGCATGTGACCACGGCGCGCGGGGCTGGGCGCGCAGTGCCGCGCGGTGGCAGCGGCGGGGAGAGCAATGGAGGCCGCGGGCGCCTGAGAGCTGGCCGCGCTGCTGGGGCTGCTGCTGCGGAGGCTCGGCGGGCTGGGACATTCCCGGGACGCGCGTCGTCGGTCATCACTCCCTGCACCGTTGGCGCCCGGTGAAACCGCAGGTGAGCGCCCCTCGGTCGCGGGAACAGACAATGGGCAGCTGGTGGCTTCTTCCTCAGGTCGGGCCCCGGCGAGACTCCGACCTTGCCCGGGGCGTGGGCTCGGGAAGCTGGCGGAGGTCTTGGAGCGGCGACCCCATTCGCGGCGCGGTCCGTGTCCTCCGGACCTGTGCGGAGCGTGCGCGCCCGTGGGTCCCCACGAGGAACCTGCAGACGGGCTGCACCCCGGGAACTTGCCGAGAGCGTGGGACCCGCTCAGTCTTGCACCCCTTCCCGCGCCTTGTCCGGTTCTCGAGTCCCCGGCGCGGAGCCGGACCTCGGCAGCCAGGAGCAGGGACGCGGACCCGCTCAGCCGGGTCCCCAGGCTGCATTGCTTTGTTTAACCTCTGCCGAACCGATGCGCACAAACTCTTGTTGCCCCAGTTCTGATGAGCCACCAGTTTGATGGCAGAGGCGAACAAAGGTTTCCCTCCCAGGGCTGGAGTCCGGGACCGCACGCCGCCGGGGCGTGAAATGGGCTCGCCTTATCTTTTCCCATCGCGATGGGTTTCCCCGCTGCTATAACCGCCCTTTCTTGCAGAGCTCTGTGGTGGCAAGATTGGACCTCTAATCCCGTGGATGCGGTGGGTGGGGTATGGCTCTTTAAAAGAACCAGAGTGTCAGCCAAGAGCAGACATTTGAATTTTATGTTAAATGTTTTCACACGCTAGACATCGCAATGCTTTTCTGAATTGTGGATTTCAAGGGAGAATGTATATTTTAAGGCATTGATTCAGCGTAGGGGGAGGGGGAGAAAACCTAGTAACAGTGACCATGTGTTGTGAAATTTTAATATGGTTTTACGAATAATGGCTGGGAAGCTGATCTGGCATTGGGTGTGTAGGGGTGTGTGTGTGTGTGTGTGTGTGTGTGTGTGTGTGTGGAGTTGGCAGTGCTGGAAGGGGAGTGGTTGGAATACAAAGGATAAGACAATTTTAGTGAAAGGTTTTAGTAGATATCCTTGTGGCAGATGAGCAATTCATTAAGTTGTCCGTTAAATCAATGTTGCCCCGTAAAAATTACCAGCAGTAGTTGTTTTATTATATAATAAAATGTCTAACGGTCATTTGGCATTGTTTGCGGCTCGGGCATCTGTATACAGTGATCAATTTTGAGTAATTTTCAAAGAGTCAACAAAGAGAGGGCACCTTCACGGCCACCGCCTTTAACGACTTGAGAGAAGCCTGGCTCGGTTTTCTTTTCTTCTTTCTTTTCTCCCTATTTTCCAAGAGAAAATTGCCTGCAAGAAGAAGGAAATTCAATGGCAGTTTTAAAAAGAAACATTTGAAAATGTATCTTGGATAAGTTATGTGGTTGTATTATGGATTATGTTAACTCACAAAAGTGTGGGGCGGGGGAGAACCCTGCAATTAAACCATCTAGGTATTGCCTATTGATTAGTTGAATTTCACTCCAAAGTTTTTGTTTAGAGTCACCTGTAACAACTGAGAAACTTTCAAGACTTTAGAGTGTAAACAGAACACTGAATTTGGAGCCAGAAAGATAATGATGCTGACATGATAGACTTAGGTAATTGGTATGAAAAATGAAATTATATAGTTTTTCATAAACTACAAAGCATCGTAATAGTGTACGTTATTACTGCTAGGTGAAAAAAAAGGCTGCATTTTTATGTTTTTTTCTTATGCAATTTTGTAACAATTCTTGTCCATTGTTATGTATGCTTGTGCATGTATGTACTCATGTGTGTGTGCGTGTGCATTCATGCACGTGTGTTCACTCACATGTGTGCAGCCTGTAGAGGCTCGTAGTTTGATTTTCTCCATTATTCTCCACTTTGTAATTTGAGACAGGGTCTCTCACTGAACTGAACCTGATGCTCATCAGTTTGGCTGGACTGGCAGGCCAATGCCCTGCCCCCCAGCATCGTCTCAACATGTATGGCTTTTACATGTGAACTGAGGGTCCAAATTCAGGGCCTCACGCTTGCAGAGTCTCATTTAGCCCTGGCTGGCTTTGAACTCGTGGTAGCCAAGAATGGCCTTGAACTCCTGAGCCTTCTGCTTCCACCTCTGGAATGCCGGGATTGAGGGCGTCTGCTGAGGGGCAGTCCATGTAGGGCACCGAGTCATATTCAGGTTAGCAGTGGAAAGAATAAGCTAGTGATAAATAAAATGCGAATGAAATAGTATGCATGCAGGTGCAGCTGGCTTACCTGAGCATTTCCTGGGGACCTACTATGTACAAAGAACTGAAAAGTATTTCCACGCATATCTTATAAAGGCCCGGCACCTACTTCTACACTCATAGTTGATATGCATATTCTTGAAGAATGGGGCCTTCCAGGCTGACTCGGTAGGCTTTCCTATAGCTGAGGAGGACAGTCGGGCATTTCACTTGTTAAATGTGTTTATTTCACAGTCTTCTTGGGCAAAGACAGGGCAGATATTATCATTCCAATTTGTAGGTAAGGAAATCCAGACACAGTGGGATTAAATGACTTGCCAACTCTTGCTACTAACACAGCCCTTCCAGGGGCAGAAGCTGGGTCGCATGCCCTGCTGCTTTGGCCCCCGAATCACGATCTCCTCTGAGATATGCAGCACCCCCAGAACGTGACACTCTAGTTTAAGCTTTGTGAGACGTCTACATCCTGGATAAATGTTAGACAAGGGTTTTGAATTGGGGGACTGAATTTGAAACTGGCTGTTCCTGGTAACAAGCCCTTTGTTGCGGCAAGTAATTTAAAATCTCGGTTTCTTCTTCTGTAAGAATCCTTCTTCCTGGAGGGAAGGTCCATTTCATTCGTGAGGGTCAAATGAAATGATTGCTATGCACACACCCTTTGCACAATACCAAATACAAGCTAAACACTCAAGGAGAGCTTATTTCTATTCTCATTATTAGACGGTAAAAGGGTGGCTTTGAATGGAGAGGTGTATTGTCTGTTGTTCCCTATTATACAAACACTGAGTGTATGTGTGTGCGCGCGCACATGCGTGAGGTATGTATATGATATATAGTTATATATTCCTTGCCTCTTTTTTTAGTTTTGGAGGATTGGGAGTAGGACCCTGCAGTTGCTAACCAAGCATCCTGTCACTGAGTCATGCCCTCAATCTGTGGTCTTTGGAGGCGAGTTCCTGTAGTTGAGTCTGTCTCAGCCTTTCACCTGCTGGAATGACAGACAGGCACACACCACCATGTCCAGGGCCAATGAAACATTTCTAAACTCTTGAAGTCGTGTTCAGATTTCCCATATGTGTTTTCCATATGAGTTTTAAGATGCTACTTGAGATCCAGTAAATGATTCTGGTTCTTTCAAAAGCACCAATGGAAAGGATAAGCGGGCTAAGTGCACGCGGAAAGAATCTGCTGCTGCCTCTACACTCTTCCTTCAAATCTTTACCCCAGTTGAAATTTGAATATTAAATTGCAATTAAAAACCCAGTGTTAGAGGGTCACAAGGTAAAGTGCTTGTCCAGTTCGTCTCCAGGAGCTCAGTCTTCCCCCATTCCCACACATACATGTTTCTTATACCTTTTTTTTTATTGTAATTGACATTTTTGAGTATTTCTCATGGTCAAGGGCCCATGCTAAGCAGTCTTTGTGTTATCTAATTTAGTCCTCCCAGCAGGAGGCCTTGTGTTTCCCTTTGATAACTGAATTAAGACTCGATGAGCTTTATATGAACTTGTCTAAGGTCCCAAAGTTAGTGAGGAATGATGTGGGGGTTCAAACTGAGACCTGCTGGACCCCGAAGCCTGCCCCTACACTTGACCTCCCCTACTCTCCTGGGGTCCCTTCCCAGTAACTGCTGTAGACATTTTATTCCTTAAATAAAGCCCTAAATTTGGGTGGCAACATTTAGACTAACACAGCGCTTGTTGTATAGCTTCCTTTGAGGGACTCATTCAGTGTCCGTTCTTAGCTTAGTTATAGGGACAAAAGCTTGCCCAGGAGACCTGGAGTTCTCTTCGACTTGGCTAGTCTTTAATGTAAACTGTTTGGAGGAGCTTCTCAGGTTTTTGTGATAGAGTCAATTAATTGGTCATTTTTATTGAGTGCTCAAAGGTTTAATATATCTTCAGAAGAGACACAAAATAGCTGTGTAGCTATAAAAGGCTTCATCACAAATGAATGTCGACCGTTGTTAAGGCACAAATGAAGACTAAAGAGCCACAGAGGGTACTTTATAGTGTATTGATTGCTCTCAAAATAACAAGTCAGTAAAAGGAATTAATTTTAGGCAGTACATGAAGAAATCACCATCAACTATTATACATATATAGTATATTGAGCATACACACACACACACACACACACACACACACACATACACACACACACTTCAGTTTTAAACCAACATTTCTCATGTTTTAGTAATTACTTAATTTTAATATATTTTGTTTCTTGGACTCTCCTGCTCTAAACAGTATTGTTAGGGGGCTGGGAAGGTAGTTCAGGGGTAAAGTGTTTGCTATGTGGACCTGGGGATTTGAGTGATGCCCCATCACCCACATAAAAGGCCGGGGCATTGTGGCATAGATTCCACCCCAGCTCTAGGGGTGGAAGTGGGGTAATCCCAAGGGCTTGTTGGTCAGCCAGTCTAGCCCAGATGGTGCACTCCAGATCCCGTGAGGGATGCTATCTCAAAAAAAAGGGGGAGAGGCAACTTGATTAAAATGCTGCCTTTTTTGAGATAAATTCTCTTTAGCACAGGTTAGAATCTTTATGTAACTGAGGCTGGACCTGAAACACTGAACATCCTGATTCTGCCTCTCAGATGCTGGCATTGCAAGCATGTGCCACTCCACCCTTCTCTTAGCCAGTTTGTTCAATTAAATTGATCAAAACTTATAATTTTAAAGGCTTACGTGCCATGTGCTAGCATGCTTAAGTGTGTGTGCGCACGCATGCATGTGTGTGCAGATGCCCAAGAGGCCAGAAGAAGGGTTGTATTCTCAGGGGTTGGAATTACAGATGGTTGTGAGCCACCCCAC